TTTACCCTTTTTTAAATGTGAGAAATTGGTAGGTATTTATAAAGTTGTCACAATAAAAACTGTATATTTGTTGCTATTTACAATATGAATTCTATTTATAAGTATATATTAGTAGAGAACTCCGACAAACATAATAAATAACAAAACATTTTTCGTTAATAATAGATAATTTATCATTTCTTCTATATGAAGAAAAAGAAGAATGATTCAAATACAAACGTTCTAGATCTTTTGATAACCTACAACTTTGCTATTTATTTTTTGAAGTGAAACTTCTTTACGCACGCTTGACTTGGGGGTGAGCATGGGAGAAGGGGGTCCGGACCATGCAGTCACTCAGTCCGGATATCGAGCGTTGGCAGCAGGGCGTTACGATTGCACATGTCATCACTGCGGTGCAGAAGGCAACGGGAAACCACTGCACTATTTTCCCTAGTAAAATCAGCATGGAAAAGTCACAAAAAGAAATGGCCCCGAGTTCCCGGCGTCTCTTAGATGGGACAGGGGTGCGAAGAATTCTCGGGAGCAAAACCCAAGATTTTAGAATAGGAACATGGAATGCCCGCAGCCTGCAGAGCCCAGAGAAAATCTATAACGTCAACAAGGAGATGATACGGCTGAATATTGATGTGCTGGGACTAAGTGAGGTTAGGTGGAAAGGTAGCGGTGAACACAATATTGACAAGGACCATATATTATATTACTCGGGATCGGATGACTCATCTAATAAACATGGCGTTGGAGTAATAATCAACACGAAGAGAGTCGGAATATCTGTAGAGTTTCTGCCAAAATCCAGCCGTGCAATGATGCTTCAGATACAGGCTAGGCCGAGAAATCTAAACATCATCCAGCTTTATGCACCAACAACGGACGGATCAGATCAAGAGGTAGAAGAATTTTACAAAGAGGCTGAAGATCTGCTTAAAATAACAAAAAGACATGACATCAATATTGTGATCGGTGACATGAATGCTAAAGTGGGCCAGGGAGAGGTCCAGGGCGTGGTTGGAAGATACGGCTTGGGAATCCGCAATGATAGAGGAGACCGTCTCGTACAATTTTGCCAGGAGAATGACCTTGTTGTCATGAACACCTTTTTCGACCTACCACCAAGACGATTGTATACCTGGACCTCGCCTCGACATACCCCCCAAAACATAGTTCGCAATCAAATTGACTATGTTATGGTGAACAGTCGCTTTAAGAACTGCATCAGGAGTGCCAAGACGTATCCTGGGGCAGATATCCGATCCGACCATAACCTGCTCCTTGCTGTGATATCCTGTACCCTTAAGAAAATAAGGAAGAAGCCTCGCAAGAAAAGGATAGACAAAAGGAAAATCTATGATGAAGACATAAAACCTAAAGTCTCTAAAGCAATAAACGAGTGGGCAGTGACATATAAGTATTCGGGATCTGAATCAGTGGAAGATACATGGTCATCACTCAAATCTGTGGTCACTTCAATAAATGAAACGCTTCTTGGACAAAATGATTGGACTCCAAAGCAAGTATGGATAACAGAAAAAATATACCGGTTGATGGAAGAACGTAGGCTTTACAAGAATACTGATAAAACCAAGTACGACGACCTAGATAAACGAATACGTAGAGAGGTTCGTTATGCACTGAACTCATGGTTCATAAGCAAGTGCGAATTTATAGAAGAACTTAGTGCAAAACATGACGCATTCAATTTGCACAAAGAGGTAAAAGCCATGGTTGGGCGTAAATCATCTGTACATCAACTCGTTGATGCTTTTAGTGTGCCAGATTTAGAAAAGGCCATAAAGAAACAGCTATGGGAACAATATATCGAGTCTATGTTCTCAGACGACACACGGAACGCTTTTCAAATCTCTGACGAAGATCGGGGTCTTCCCATTATGAAAGCTGAAGTGGTGAAAGCGCTGCGTAGAGCAAAATCTGGAAAATCTGCAGGACCAGACGACGTACACATAGAAGTTTTAAAACTGCTAGAGGAAGACCATGTAGACGCCTTGGTAAAGCTCATGAACCTTATCTATGACTCAGGTCACATACCACAAGACTGGCTGAAGTCAACGTTTATCACTCTCCCAAAGAAAAAGAATGCGAAAAGATGTGAGGATTTTCGAACTATTAGCCTCATGAGCCAAGTTTTAAAGCTGTTCTTATCAATTGTGCATGAACGCATTAGAAAGAGATGTGACGAACAACTCGGCGATAGTCAGTTTGGTTTCCGATCCGGAGTGGGAACTAGAGAGGCGCTGTTTGCAGTGCAGGTTCTGATCCAGAAGTGCTTAGACATGCAGCAGGACGTCTACCTTTGCTTCATCGACTATGAGAAGGCGTTCGATGGAGTAAGGCATGACCGACTTATTAAGATCCACAACGACGTCGGTCTGGATAACAAGGACATCCGCATTATTAAAAACCTGTACTGGAACCAACGAGCGACCGTCCGAATTGAGGGAGAGGAAACTGAAGAAGTGGAGATCAAGAGAGGAGTCAGACAGGGCTGCAGTCTGTCACCGACACTTTTCAACTTGTACTCGGAAGTAATTATGGCGGAAGCATTAGAAGACCTAGACTGTGGCGTCATCATTAACGGGCGTAGAATTAATAACCTTCGCTACGCAGACGATACAGTCCTACTAGCGTCTACAGAAGCCGACCTACAGCAAATTGTAAACCGAGTGAACGAGTACAGTTTACGAGCCGGCCTCAAGATGAACATAACAAAAACAAAGTGTATGGTGATCTCTAGAAACACCCATCTCGAGCCGCACATAGCAGTATCAGGCCAGACTATCGAAAGAGTGCACAAATACAAATACTTAGGCACCTGGCTCACTGAAAGCTGGGACAGCGAACTAGAGATCAAAACTAGAATTGAAATAGCTAGGAATGCCTTCAAGAACATGAGTAAGGTCCTATGTAACCGAAACCTAAAGATCACTTTGCGCACTCGGCTTCTGCTCTGCTATGTCTGGCCCATTCTTCTATACGGATGCGAGTCTTGGACAATAAAAGAAGATCTCAGGAAACGTATTGAAGCTTTTGAGATGTGGTGCTACCGACGTATGTTAGCAATAAGCTGGACTCAGCGGGTTACCAATGAGGAGGTTCTACGGCGAGCTCACCGAAAACGCGAACTTTTGCAAACGAAAGGGATGGGAAAAGTCGCAGGAAAAAGAAAAGTGGGCCGTAGGAAGAAGTCCTGGCTACGTAACATCAGGGAATGGACCGGGATCGCGAGTGCGGCTGAACTGTTCCGCCTCGCGAGAGATAAGAAGAAATTTTCCGAGCTGATGGCCAACCTTCACTAGTTGGAGAGGCACCCGAAAAAGAAGAAGACTTGGGGGTAAGCTGGCGAATGCGTTACGCGTTACGAAAAGTGAGTTCGGGCGAGGCGAACGGGAGTTGAGTGGGGGATTTAAGCAAACGAAAGCAGTGCGGGCGCACATTTTCTTTCTCTTTTTCTCTTATAGCTAGTAAACGAAGTACTTACATATGTATAATAATTACATACCTGCATGTATATATTATACACAAACAAATGGAACTAAAGAAGTTTCACTTCAGTCGTGTGGGTCATAAGCACACTCGTTTTATTTTCGAATGGAGTTTAAGTATTCGAGAAAATCGCGTGAAACCAGTGTTTTAAACTTTCATGGGGCACTAACATTATAGTAATATAAGTTATTTACGGGATTATCTCCGTAGATCATGGCGCTTGCAACAGTGCCGAAATATCGGAAACTCGCTAAAAACAAGGTAACAATCCCGTAAATAACTTATATCTTATCTATTAGACAAGTCCGTCCGTCCGTCCGTCTGTCTGTGGTGCTGTTTCAGCGGTCAAACCGTAAGATTTAAGATATAAGTTAAGAATAGTCTGATAAGACTACAAACCGGATTTGAGTAACGTAGCACTTCCGGTTTTCGTGAAATCACGAATTTCAAACGAAACCACACAAAATCTCCGAAGTTCTCAATTAATTAAATACATTTTTTTTTTAAATCAGGTTTAGGTGAACATTTGGTTCACTGGTTTGCTAGTATTACTATAATCGCGTGTAACCGTTTTACCCCATAAAAGGTCACCCCGCTCTTACCGACCTCAAATCGCCCGTAATTATTTATTCTCTTTTTTTTAATTTGTACTTTTCCTTTTGAAATGGATTTATCTATAAAATAATTAAGATATTATACTGTGTTTATAGTATGACATGGCAGGTTACGGTTTCATCGTATTCTAACCCTGCCTCTCTAGCATGACCACCGAAACGGGATATGATAAAGCGATATATCGGCATTAACTGTCAGACTACTATGAAGTTTGACAGTAGTCTGACAGTAAATGTCGATATATCGCTTTATCATACCCCGTATCGGTGGTCATGCTAGAGGGGCTGGCCTAGTATAGCAAATTTTTCAACTTCGGTCTAGACGCCTGACAGAAGACCACAGCAAAATAACATGAAATTTTTACCTATTGATGATGTTGTATAAACCTGTCTATCCGATACGCTATGGTAAAAGAGGTCAGCCCCTCTAGCATGACCACCGAAACGGGATATGATAAAGCGATATATCGGCATAAGCTGTCAGAATACAATGGAGTCTGACAGTAGTCTGACAGTTAATGCCGATATATCGCTTTATCATATCCCGTTTCGGTGGTCATGCTAGAGGGGCAGGTCCTTGTTAAATACAACATCACCATCTCATCTTCTATTTTTAAAATTCTTTCACCTATACAAATGTACCTACTTTATTTCAGATTGTCATAGGATTGTTGTATCAAAATTAATTCCTCCATGCAAAGGTATAGGGCACAGCTGCTTACAATAAAATCTTTACCAATATCATTTGTGTATAGAAAAAAAATAAAATTAGGTTCTTATTTAATTTCATGGTAGAGGTAGAGTTATCTTAATTTACAATTGTTTATTATCATTCATTGCGCAATAAAGTGACGTCAAAGGCCATTCTGTGTAAGTTCTGTGTCGATAGAATCAGTCCAGAGCATGCTTTGCTGAACACGCGTCGTTTTCTTGATCACTCGAAAGTGAGGTTACGGTATTTTTTATTCTAGAATTTTGGAAAAGGAACAATCGTGGCGTGAGTAGAATTTTATAATTCGACAGTACAAATAACAAAATGAGAAGCTTATGGTATTATTAATTAATACTTTACACAATTAATTTTGACATTTAAAAGTCAACCAGCGTTTTCTTTGAAAAAAAAATTGTTTCAAAGTTTTTGCATGAGCTTGCGAACATAGGTACAATATTTCTCCTACATATATTAGCAGTTATGTACTGTGCTCACCTATTTTGAAATTAAGGAAACTGTTTTAAAATATCGTCTTAAAAATCAGTTACTTAGATTGGTTTTTGGTCATTCCTGCTTATTTACAGTTGTAGACTAAAGCCGACAGAGAGAAGATAAGGCGATAGGTAAATACAATTTGTAAACAATCTATTTTTTCTTGCCAATCTTCTTATGCCTATAAAATTATTTACGCAAATGATTTTCAAAACTCTGGCTTTTAAACTATTAGTCCAGACAATGCACGGAAGAAACTGGAATTACCTGGCAATTCTGCAAAACGGCACCAATTTGTACCAAAGGAGATTGCTCAGCTTCCATACATGTTTGGCCTAAAGACCAAAAATAATGAAAAATTGTTTCCTAGATTCGCAATTATATATAAATTACTGTAGAAACGAATATTATTGACGGACACCCCTGAGAACTTCTATAAACCATATACACTGAACATATTAAAATAATAAAAAACAAAAAAGTTATTTAATAAACTAGGGAAATCAAGCCAAGTACCGAAATTATGGATTAGATTCAGGTATATAGAGCATGTAGATTAACAGATAGTTGCCTATTTTTAAAGTTAATGCATAGGAGTAACTTTTAAAATCAGGTGTCATTTCCGGTTATAATAAGGTATCTGTGACAGAAACCGTGTGATGATTGTGAATGAGCCACAGATTAGAGAGAATTTTTAAACTCTCGTTAACCAAAGAAAGCTAAGAGATTTAGGTTCTATAGCCATATATTCAGTAGCTTCATTATTTTTGTTATGTTTTTAAGATAACTATATTTTAGATTTTTAGTGTATCACACCTTATAATTTTATTTATTTATTAATTTATAGTCAGGGAACGTAGGCCCATAGATAGATACCTTAAAGTCTAGCGTATATACAGATTATAATGTGTTTATGGAGTTGTTTGGCGAAAAATATATGGCAATAGACTTTATGATGTCGCCTACCATCTATAATAATTGTCTGAGCACATTTGCATCTATAAGAAAATGATAATATAGTGGTGGATATTAATACCACAGTGTAATAAAAAAAAAAGATTTATTTTATCGATCTTTACAAAATAGATTTGTTTTTATGTTATATAAACAACTTCGATCAGTCTTTGGCTGAATGTTACTATACCCATAGTCATTAAAAATGATTCGTATATTTTCCAAACCGGTAAAATTAAAAGTCCTTTTTAAAGTAAATATATTATACAAAGGTGTCCGTTGAAATCTAATGACTGTAAATTAAATTATAAATTACGCCAAGAATTACCGGGTATGTCAATATTTTTTGTGCATTAAGGCCAATTTGAGCAATCTTCTTTCTATTTGGGTTCTACTTACCCTCCACTTCGAATTTGTTAATAAACCGAGCACTCTATTGCTCTGGGGCTGGATGCCACCCCTTCCCGGGGATATTTTTTTTTATTGAAAATAAGTAGAAAAATAGATAGATTGACTTATTTTAAGCAACTTTTTTTCTTTAAAGTTTTTACTGAAAGTCGATACTTTTTTACATATTCGAGAGTGGAAAAGTCAATTTTTCATCAATAAACATATTTTCGGATAGTTTTTGACGAACAACTCTGTAAATAAGTATTTTATGAAAAAATGATAGAGTATAATTGTAGCCTATAAAAAAACAAACAAAATACTGTGTTTAAAATACTACTTTATTGAGTAACGGTGTAATAGCTTGTTAAAAATTGGTTCTTCTTCTTCAAACTCCAATTAAGAAATTTCCGACGTGAAATATCTAAACATCAATGCATTTTTCGGGGAAATCCCAGATAACTTTTCGCACACGTATGGGTGTGTCTCATAATGTATTAAAACATGAAGGAATCATCTTTATCAGCATACGTGTTTTCTGATAACTGCAAAAAAATATGATTGGGTTCTTTACCGGAACTCCCCTAGTTTTTAAACCAGCAAGTTGAAAAATACCCATTTTGTAGGTCTTTTCAAAAACCATAAGTTGATGTATGCTATTATAATTTTAAGTTCTTATTTTTAAAAAGTCTTGAGTTGAAAGAGCTTGTTCGTTGGTCGTTACTAATTGCGACATATGCAAACTTGAAACGAGCATATCTTACTCAAATTTTATCAAAAAGAAATAGAAAAAGAAACAGAAATTTTTAAAATGGAGAACCTGAAAAATTGAACTCTTAAAATAATTGCGTATCTTTCGAGCTTTCTAGTAAATTTTGAAGAAAGGCAATTTTGTGAAAACTTGCAAAGAAGCTCTCTTTATTTCAACCTATTTTTTTCTTAACTAAGCTCTTTAAAGCGGTCAAACTATAACGACATATTACAAGTACATAAATTAAGTAAATTTTAAAGTGGTATGATCATTTTCAATTGGCGTGGTAATTAGGGGTTGATATTAAAATTATTCATCGCCAAATAACTCGCTTAATTTGTATACTAGGAACTTTCATAAAATGAACCAAAAAAATGAGTTTTTCTTAAGCACTTCAAAAAGTTTTATGAGTTTTCCCCAAATAATGCATTGTTTTTTTGGATATTTCATGTTGAAACTTTAGATTTTGGCGTTTGCCAAATGAAGAACTAGCCTTAAACAAGCTACTTACTGCGTTAGTATTCAATAAAGTAGTATTTTAAACCCACTTTTTTATGTATCTGTATGATTATAAAAATAAATAAATATTAAGCTATATTTTTACTCCTCATTTTTTTTCATAAAATATTTAATTTCCGATTTATTAATGAAAAACTGTGTTAAAGCGTGGTTTTTTTTGTTGATAAATGAACGCGAACACTCTCGGATATTGTCGAAAAGTACCTATTGACTTTTAGTAAAAAGATTAAGTTTATAGAATAAAAGTTGCTCAGATAAAATATTTTAGCCTCATAGCTAGTTATACTCGTAGCTTCCCCCCAAGGTAAAGCAACCATCGGCACATTGACAAGAAATGGAGGGTAAGTAGAACCTTCAGCATAATTTTGGTGCTAATCGGTGCTGTTTGGTGGAATTGCTAGAGAAAAACGTGCATTGACTGGGCGAGAGAAAGCTTCATTCATACTCATATCCTTATTTTCTATATTTTTGAGATCTTACTTATGGAAGTATCACAGGACGGAAACCTCGTTAGTTAACAATATGAAAAATATACTTAAGTCTTAAAAAAATGTTACAAAAAATTCGCGAGTTTAAGGCACCAGAGCCGTTATCGGGGCTTACAATGCGAAGAGATGGCTCTGCTTTGTCTTGCAGCCAAATAAATACTGGAAGAACTGTAATATCCCTTTTTTCTTATTGTTATTTGGGACAGACATTAACTTCTCGGTGTTGCTTATTTCAGGAAATTAATGGATGTGATTGTAATAGGCTGCGGTGCTTCGGGCGTCGCGGCCCTACGTCGCCTGCACGATGCTGGGCTCAAGGTCTTAGGCCTGGAGGCGGCGGGACGAATCGGTGGCAGGGTACATACTGTCCCGTTTGGCGCCAATGTTGTAGACATAGGAGGAGCGTGGTATGAAGAATTTATTTCACGAGAATAACACATTTCAACTTTCAATTCCAAACTATCAATTTACTTCAACTGTTTTGAAGTTCAGAGGAGCTCGATAGCGCATTCGGTCTGCGATCGTTGAGGTTAGGAAACTTTCCATAGGCTGGTCATGAAAATGGCCATGAAAATGGAAACCTTGATAGGCCGATGATGATAATCATCACACCGGACCACTTTGTTGTTAGCTTCCTTGCCACTCTCCAAGAAATATCAAAGACTAAGATATTAAAAACTGTCCATTTTCAGGTGCCACGGAGAAAAAGATAATATAGTGTATGAAATTGCGAATCCACTCAACCTATTGGGCAGACCAGAGCCAGAAGAGCATTGGTACTTACTATCCAACGGAGGTTTTGCACCAGACACAGTGGTCAAAGATATGATCAGTGCGGTGGCGGAGTCTGTTACCGAAGCCAAGAAAGAAGGGACCACTTCGATAGCCGAATGTGTTAGTCAAGCGTAAGTAGGTAACCAAACCAATAATTTAACAAAGTACTAAGAGTATAGGTTATACTCCGTGTTTAAAACTTTTGGAGAGCAGAAGTTAACAAAGAAGTAGGTAAAGGATTACCTACTGGGGGCCATTCGCCTAACAGAAATGCTCTGGAAAACGCTAACGCTTTCGATTTTATTTTGTTATTTCTGACCGCCGAAGGTTTTCAAATACCTCACGCTCATTTTTTTAATATTGTTATTACCAATCCAAAAGAAAAAAAAAGTGCGCGAGGCATTTGAAAACCTCAGGCGGCTAGAAATAACAAAATGAAATCGTAAGCGTTAGCGCGTTTTCCAAAGCATTTCCGTTAGGCGAATGGCCCCCTGGTCAGAAGACCACGAGGTAGAGTCAGGATAGACAACGGTATGGTGGCCGCTTACTATCAGGTGGGCCATACGATTTTCGATTTTTTTTACATAAAAAATATCATAGACCATAGTGACAAAAATTCGTAGAGCCGAAATTAATTGATCAATCAAATGATTAGATTCATTAGATTATAATAAAAATAACGGTAGCCAATGAAAGATTAAGTTTACAATCGGTCACAAAATGTTTGGTACGGACACTAAAGCTGATAATTTCTCCGATTCCCTATCCATGAAATTCGAATTCGACTAAACGTTAAAAGTATCGAGCCTTACCACTGTGAATGGAATTGTGAATGGAACGGACATATTACAATCGGATAAGGACGTTCGACTGCTTCACTTCACTATTATATATGTTATATATTTTATAAAAATATTTATTATGACGACCTCCGTGGCCGAGTGGTTTGTACGCCGGGTTTCATGGTGTCGCCGACTCGAGAGGTCCGAATCCCGGCAGGGGCAGATGTTTGTGTGATGAATACGTGCATTTGTACTCCAGTCATGGATGTTTAATATGTATTTCTATATAAATATACTTATATATGTACAGTATATGTATTCTATCCGTTACCCTAGTATCCCATATCACAAGCCTTATAGTGCTTACTTTGGAGCTAGGCTAATTGGTGTGAGTGTTGGAAATATTTATTTATTTACTATTGCCTTCTGAGGCAACAGTTAAGTTAGTGCACATCCTTCCCCAGAAAAAGAAAAAAAAATAAGATAAAAATGTAATCACTCCAGCCCCTCTAGCATGACCACCGAAACGGGATATGATAAAGCGATATATCGACATTAACTGTCAGACTACTATGGAGTTTGACAGTAGTCTGACAGTTAATGTCGATATATCGCTTTATCATATCCCGTTTCGGTGGTCATGCTAGAGGGGCAGCTATTCGGCTCCGCTCAACTATTTGCCACTTATTTTTCTTTTCTTAGTAAAAAGTGGGTACAGTAGCTTGGCCACACAGAACCTTTATGATGACCGCACATATTTCAGCACCATACGCGCCGCATTTCGGCGCGTGCAAAGTGTGTGGAAAATGTGCAAAGTGCCGGTCGAATAATGCAGTTTCATTATGATTGCATACAACGTATTCTAAATGCGGTGCGTACGGTGCTGACATATGTGCATTCACCTTTACTGTATCATCACATCAACCTATTAATATCCCCACTGCTGGGACACCAGCCTTCCCTATGGATGGAATAGGGGGTTTGGGCCATGTCCCACCACGGGCCCAGTGCGGATTGGTGGGTAACTAACGACTGCAGATGCATTAACATGCCTTCTGAAGCACTGAACTTTACTGTATGTCCATCTTCAATTAAGCTCTTATTCTATTGTTATTACCAATGTATGATTGGATCAATAAATCGGTTGTCCGAATTCTAGGAAAGTCATTGCAGCAATTGAATGCAGACTGATAACCACATATCACAGAAAGAGTTTGTTCTGTAATGATAACGAGTTGTAATCGCCCTCGGCATGGGCCTATTCATTGTTCCAACTTATCTTCCATCGAACACCTTTTGCCCTTCTTTGCGAATTCGAATCTCACTTAGCTGGTTTTTCGTGATAAGAGAAGAGTGCTATGAATTCACTGAGAAATGCGATGTAATTTCAATAGGTAATTTTAATTTCATCTCGATAAGTTGAGGATCACTGTTTTAAAATTCAGTTGCAAGATTTGACTCGAACATACCTACGTACATTGCAAGTTGTAAAAGAAAATCTTTTTAATAAAATAGGTGCGGTTAGGTGCTTTAATTTGGGATCCATTTCATTGAGAAATTTGGTTAGCACAATTGCAGTACCTAATCTTATTGGTGTTGGTTATTTGGTAGGTTAAGATTATTTCCAAATCTAATATTAACTTACCTAACATACTGTATTGTATTTGACAGAGCAGAATCAACGGAAATCCTGAAAAGTTCGGATTTAACACCTCCACTCATTGAATGGTACGCGAGAGCTAACCATCTCGGGGGTGAAGAAGACCCCAAGAAGGGCAAGTCTTTGAAGGGTTTGGTCGAAAATTGGGTATGCGAAGGAGAGCCAATGCTCAACTGGAAAGGAAGAGGATACAAGACTATACTAGACGTATTACTGGTAAGTGGAAAATAGGCTAAATGACAGTATGAAAAATAATGTACCAATCAATGAGGGTATGAATCTGCCGCTAGAGGCGCTTGTCTAGCGTGAGGTCTCCGAAATGTCAAATATTATTGAGCTTGTGGGTTGACTACGCGGATTTATTTCTTATCAAAATAATTTTGTGAATATTTGGTAATAACTCCGATCAATTATAACAAACATGATTTACGTGTCAATTAATGTCAGTGACTTAAAATAGAGCTAAGAAAAATTATTGTGCTTTTTTCCGAACAAAACGGAACTGTTAACACTGTGGCATGGCCGATTACGTTTACGATACGGTTCTTTTGTATTAAAATATGATTTAAATGTAATCTTAAAATTCACGCGCTTATTAACAAACTTTAAAAGCTACGCTTCAAGACCTCACTCAACACTGGCGCCATCTGGTGAGATTATTATTGAATGAACGAATGATCATTATTATTATTAAAGGAAATGATTTTTTGCTCCATGGTCACATGACCAAATACGCCTGATATTGGCCAAGATTAAATGACGTCACACACTAGTAAACTTCCGGCCAAAGTGACATTACATTGTATCGTTTGACGTTTTAATGACAGTCGTGTGTCGTCACATACTAGTCAGACGCCATAATGTCCAGAGAAACGTTTTCACGGCAACTTGAATGTTTGAATTTTTAATTAAGTTTTTTTACTGAATTACACAACAGAATAAATAATATCCACTTTTTATCGAGTCCATAAACAACGTGAGATCGTTTTCCACGGCTTGTCAAATACTAATTATAAACTATCCTAGTGCCCGCTACATCATTTGTGTGGAAAAATTGGTTTCCCATACAAACTTCCAACCCCCTTATCATCTAAAGAAAAGTTTACTAGAAAAAAATCCACGCGGACCAGGTCCCGTCCGCTGCCTGGTCCGCGTGGATTTTTTTCTAGTAAACTTTTCTTTAGATTTAAACATCTAGCAGTTAAATGCTTAAAAAATAAATAAAACCCCTTATCATCCCTTTAAACGACGATTTCTAGGTTTAAAACTATGCTATGTCTTTAATTCCCAGGATTTAAACTATCTCTATACCATTTTTTATCTAAATCGATTCAGCAGTTACAGTGTAAAAATGTAGGTAACAGACAGAGGAAGACAAACACACTTTTTCATTTGTAACATTGGTATAGATGAAAAATGAGAAGTGATTAAATTTTTTTCGGAATAGTAGTATATTATTGTATGTTGGAAGCTACAAGTAAAAGTTGAGTTTCACCGTTAGTTAACTGTGTTAATAACCCAACTTTTGGTCCTCAGTCATCATCAGTTTTTAAATGTCTCCGTTTTGGGTTCTTAGACACGGGCCTTACCTATTATGAGAATGTACCACGCGAGACTAACAGCTAACTGGTTTTCCGAGATTGTTTCCGAAGCATTTTTTATTTTATCAACTTCAGTCTAATGGCGTCACTTTTAGAGCTTCCATAAGTTTAAACAGTCGTTCTCTTCTGGAGTTCTGGCATAATGGGAAACCTAAGCGTAGGTAGGTATACCTTTTCATGAAATATTTTTATGAAACTCTTCACAGAACCGATATCCCGATCCATCCAAAGAGGTGCCCGTCGAAATCCTACTGAACAAAGAGGTGGACAGCATCAGATGGGGCACGCATCAGTTCGGGAACGATTCCAGCAACCCTCTAGTCCACGTATCTTGCAAAGACGGCAGTTTATTCATGGCGAAGAGCGTCATCATCACTGTGTCATTGGGAGTGTTGAAAGAAAGGTATTCCATAGGAGACTCCATAATTCAATGATTATAAAATTTGTTCTCGTCTATTGCTTAGCCTGTTATAGCAGACCAGAGTTTTTTTAAATGTTTGTAAATACCATAAATTTTTAGAGTAATGCAGATCATGGTAAATCTTAGAAGAAGATGGCCTTAAAACGCTTCAATAACCTTCCATTCGCCTGCTGACCTTCTTCTATAGGTATTAAAGAAGTTTAATATTAAGAGCTTGGAATTGAAAATTTTACGCAGATAATGTTTCAGGCACCAGGAGCTGTTCAAGCCACCATTGCCGACCAACAAAATCACTGCCATAAACAACCTTGAGTTATGTATCCTTGACAAAATATACGTTGAGTTCACTGAAGCATGGTGGTCCAAATCTACAGCACAATTCAATATTCTATGGCGGGACCAAGACAAAGCGAAATTTTCAGACATGAAATGGGTGACATTAATATTTGGCGCCAATACTGTAGCGAATCAACCTAATGTTCTACTGTTCTGGTTGTACGGTGTTGGGGCTAAGGAAATGGAGCAAGTGAGCCAAGAAGACGTAGAGAAAGGCATTGGGATGCTACTCAAACTGTTTATGGAGAATTTTGATGTAACCCCGGTTAAGAAAGTTCTGAGGTAATTATGATTGTCTTCATTTTAATCGTAAACTATTACATGAACAGTCGTCGTAAGTAATTACATTTTAATCTGTGGTACATCGCTTAAAGACACTATCTTGATCTTTATATCTAAGTATTTTTCCTTTTCCTTCCACTTTTTCTTCAATATTAGTCTTAGCTATCTGCAATAAAATGAATATTATTATTGTCAGTCTTCTCACGAGGTTGTCTTAAACTGGACATTATAAGTATCAATTATCTGATACCAGATCATCAACCCGATTAATTTCCCCACTGTTAGAGTACAAACCTTCCCTATGAACCGAATTGAGCGAATGGTCCATAAGCCATAACATAACCCACAACACGAGACTGTGAGGAAAGACGTCAGCAGATGTAGCCGGGACCAACTAAACGTGTCTTCCGATTCACAAAAGAGCTCTAGTTCTTTAAAATAGTTTTGATCGCCCATCCAAAAAACGGTCCAGGCAAGCGTTAATATTAATATGAAATTCGCAAATCAACATCATTTCGAATTGATTATATTGTTATTTTAAGCATTAAACTACTATAAGTATGTAAAAAATTGTAAAAATTCCACTGGGTCCAGGCATCAGACAGGATTCAAACATGCACCTTCCGCTATCCGCCCGGATTATGGGGTGTCAATTCAAGTCAATTTTTTCTTAAATTTATCATTTCGAATTTTCAATTCGCAGATCGCAATGGGCGTCGGATCCTTTAGTTCGCGGCGCGTATTCTTACCGCAGCGTAAGCACAGAAATGAACGGAGGCAGCGCCACAGATCTGAGCGAGCCCCTGTACCACGACGGCTCGTTCCCTGTCGTCTGCTTCGCGGGAGAAGCGACATCGCACCACCGACATAACTCGGTACACGGGGCCGTCGAAGCTGGCTTCAGGGAGGCCGATAGACTTATTGAAAGCTTCAAGAAGTTGTAGGAATGAAATGATGGATTTTACAATTTTATATACATAGGTATTAGGTTCGATTTTCTAGCGATATACGTAGGAGGTCCTTCATCTTGTGATGTTCTTAGCACCTTTTTATCTTGAGCTTCCCCTCCAGGTTTCCCTGGTGGTACGTGGTGGGAAGTTCTACCAACTGGCAAAGGTCGTAGAATTACACATCGATCGAGATTTTGGCAACTAAATGTTCCTTTCTTTCTTTCTAAGAACCGAAAGACCTTTCGAGTTTTTTACAGTTAATGAAAGATATCTAATTTAATGCATTGAAAAAAAATCTCTACACAAATATCAACACATGCATGCGTACTGCATACATACAGCTGTCTAAAAATGCATTTAAAGAAATCACATACGAGTACATAGCCGATTCTAATGCCGTTACCTTATACAACCTTATGCAAGGATAAATTATAAAGACCCTCAAAAAAGATTTTAATGAACATAACAAAATTTCCATTTTACCTACGACCACTCTCAGTGACATCAACTAATTTTAAAGTTTGATAAAAGTTGATGCTGCCTCTCTTTGCAATGGCAGTAAAATAGAACTGCCGTCACTTTAAAAACTTTGTTAAACAGAAATATTTTTTACTTTCTTATTTATTTATGATTATTATGCGTATTTTTTTTTAGGATATTTTAATTATGATCCTTTTAGTAAAAATCGTTGTTTTACTTATATTTGATTTCCTTCTCCATCGAATCAAAACGAGAATTGTTAACTATTTTCGTATATTGTTGTTATTTTATATCTTTTTTGATGTATAAATAAAACAATGAGTTTTCTTAAATGAGTTTTATTTGCTTCAATTCGTAAACTCTCAATCACAGCTTGTAAAAACCCCCACGTGGGATATCAAATACGCCTCAGTGTTACGCAACAGAGTTCTTAAAGCATCTATATTTGTTTATGGAATATTTATCTGAATATTTTATCAGAATAGACAGTCTATTTTTTTACTACTTCTGTAATCTTTGAGAATAATTCACGCACGATTTTTCAACGCTAGAAAAAGTTTTTTTTTTTCAATTATTCCGATGCTGAATTAACATGAAATTGAGGTGATAAAAATCTTCTGATTAAGAGTGAATTAAATATTTCTTTAGAAGCAACACATGCGAGACTGAGAGATAATAAATAAAAGTATAACGATGGTCACCAACCACGGGCATGCAAAGTCGTAAGTGGCCCGGCCTAGATTTAGAGGGGTTTATATTATTACTAGCTGATCCAGCGAACTTCGTACCGCCATAAAAAAATAGGGGTTGGTGGTAGAAGGGTGAAAATTTAGGGTTGTATGTATTTTTGAATGTTGTATCATAAAAAAATAAAAAAACAAAATTTTATCTAAAATTGAAAAAAAAAATTTAGGGGAGGATTATCCTTAACATTTAGGGGGATGAAAAATAGATTACATCCGATTCTCAGACCTACCGAATATGCATATAAAATTTCACGAAAATCGGTCGAGCCGTTTCGGATGAGTTTAACCACAAACACCGCGACACGAGAATTTTATATATTAGATCATAAAAACTTCGCTCTTAGAACAATCGATAAAACTAATCTTTAATAAGAAAGTTTAACATTGTTCATAATAGTTCTTTATCTTAATAAACTTAAAACCACTAAAACTAACATTCAAAAGTCACTTCCTTTCTGTGTACGCGTATGCGCGTTAGAATTTATATTATGATCAAAATAGAAGCTATATCTAGTGACACTGTTTAACTGATCACATCCTGCCATCTATACTGAAGTTTTGGAAACTATTGCATTTAAAATCGTAACGCGCCAAAGTAGCAGAATCTTAATGAGACAAAGAATTTCAAATATATTTTGCTAAAACAGTTCAGTTCGGTTACACGAAAATTTGCCTCGATCGAAACTAATATTTATATATATAAAGGGTTAATTTTAAAACACAAACAACCTCTTAGGGGTGATTCTACATCACCACCATCAACAGGAACAACTTTTATTATGGGACAAACAGTGTTTAGGTAATCACATGCATGTGTCCTGCCGTTGTGTTTATAGTTTGTTATAATAATCTACACTGGTACCTATATATATATTTTTTTTCTATTTTTGTAACATAGTATCCATGTGTGGTTATGAGTAGTCATGCTCTCTTAAAAATCTCTTCGGTGGTGTCGTGTGAGGCGGGTCGTTGCGTTCCCTAAAAAATGGTTGAGCGAAGCGATGGCTGGTTCATGCGTCATGCTCGTGAACGGGTGCTACCAGCGGAGATGAGTCTGCTCTTAATTCACTGGGTACTATTAATCGTTGTTCTAAACTTTAATCGTGCATTATTATTATTTTTTTTTTGCCTAAACGGTAGGACACGTCATTCCTAAACTTTGTTAAACCATTTTTTTTTTTAATATTTTTTTTTTTATAGTCATAATTTTTATATTATTTGCATTTTTTTTGTTTGTAATGAAAAGGGACTTTATGAGTTACCTCATATTGAAGTCATTTTTCAATTTGACGACTTTGTATATAATACAGGGAGAAAAAAACAGCCCTTGCTGAGTTTCTTGCCGGTTCTTCTCAGTACAAGGTCTCCCGCCGTAGATTTGCGAACCGATGGCGTAGCTTTTCGACATTCACAAGTGCTTGTAACAGCCTAGACTGAATAAACGATATTGAATTTTGAATTTTGAACGCTGAAATCGTGAATAAAAAATCTGCTGTTTGATACATAAATATAAATAATAAATAAATATTTCCAACACACACACCAATTAGCCTAGCCCCAAAGTAAGCACTTTAAGGGATTATGGGATACTAGGTTAACGGATATAATACATATACTGTACATATATAAGTATATTTATAGAGAAATACATATTAAACATCCATGACTGGAGTAAAAATGCACGTATTCATCACACAAACATCTGCCCCCACCGGGATTCGAACCCGGGACCTCTTGAGTCAGCGACACCATGAAACACGGCGTACAAACCACTCGGCCACGGAGGTCGTCAAATTACATAGATACATTTCGGACGATAAGCTGATGCACTTTTGTATGAAACAGCAGATTTTTTTCGCGATTTCAGTGTTGGTCCCTTAATAAAAGTTGTTTCTGTTGATGGGTAGAATCACCCCGTAAGAGGTTGTTGGTGTTTTAAAATTAACCCTGTATACATATAAATAATAAATATAAAAAAGTATAATATGTACCTCTACTAATATCTATTTAGTAGACCGATCGAGGCGAACATACTCCAGTGAAGTGTATACTAAAACAACAGTTGTATTTTTGGGGAGACAATATCAACGTCGCTTACTAAAAAAATACGTTCAGTACTTAATTCATACATACAAAATATAAAAAAGTAATAAAAATATAAATCAAATTATTACATTATATACACACACAAAGCGGTTAATTAACTTGATTAAAGTTGATATTTTCAATTTCTTTCGATAACAATAAAATGAGACAATACTTCATTTAACTTAACATTAAATTAAGGTAATTTTAGTCTAAATACAGCCACAAGCGTTAAAACATTAAACGAAAAATGACAAATGTGCGTAAAATACTTAAAAATAACTTTCTAAGGCCGCGTGGTTTCATCGATAGTTAAATTTGACTATAGTAAAAAATATCTCTATTTCCGACCCTGATTATTATTAATATAAAAACTTCGCTCTTAGAACAATTGATAAAATTTATCTTCCATAAGAATGTTTAACAATAATGTTCACAATCGTTTTTTAACTTGAAACTACTACACTATGCGCGGTAGAATTTATATTAATATCACATTAAAGCGCCATCTGGTGACACTTTTACAAAGTAATCACATCCTGCCATCTATACTGAAGTTTCGGAAACTACTGTGCCTATTTTAATTTGTAACGCAGCGAAGTAGTAGAATCTAAATGAGATAAAGCATCTTAAAAATATTTTCCTAAAATAATCACATAAGTATTTGCCTCGATTGAAACTCGATACATATCGAGATTGATATATATATATCGAGGCAAACAAAAATCCATTGTAAAAGCAACAGACTGGACACTATAACGTCGCTACCTAAATAAATGACATACAATCCTTAAAATATACAAAATATAAAAAAAAAACAAAAAAATATGAATAAAATTATTAATTTTTAAAATGTCCAATCGCCATACTCAAGAGTCCATATATAACTTGCTTAAGTTGATGTTATCACTTAACAATAAAATGAGACAATAAGTCATTGAACGAAAAATTAGATTAAGGTAATTTAAGTCTCTAAGAGTATGGCCACAAACGGTAAACCATTAAAAGAATTTATTAGACCGAAAATGTCTAATGTGTATAATAATACTTAAAAACGCCTTACTAAGTAAAAAATACCAAATCATTCAATTAAATAAAAACCGTTGGTTTGGCGCTTACAAACTTACATTTAATTTTACTAATAGAATATCAACTGCTAAATGCTGGCAATTAACATGACTGTTCGTCTGTGCTAGTAAACTTGGCAATAGTCTCTCCTTTTCGTTCCTTATAGAGTATGATAAGGGCATTGATGTCAAAATGACAAATAGCAAATACGAATAGCGATAAGTGCTGGCATTATACACACAGGTATACATGCCATAGAGGTATAAGAATAGAGTAGGGGAGATGTACTCTACTACAAGTGGAAGTGTCCCTCTAATAGAAAGAGAAAGAAGATGAGAGACCGCTAGCTTTCTTTCTCTCTCTAATCGCGCATGCGCATTAGCAACCGTAAGCATCTTACTATTTCGATGTGATGCCATTGGATGCCATGCGTCACAAGAGAGAGATAGCTAGCGGTCTCTCATCTTCTTTCTCTTTCTACTAGACGGACACTTTAAGAGCCGCCTTCCCCACTCTATTCTTATACCTCTATGATATATTCACCCCAGCAAACTTCTTGATCAACGACCATAGACAAGGAAGCCTGCGCATTAGCAATTTTACATACCTCTACTGCGCATTTATTTGTCTCTGGTTTTGAAGTCAAGTCAAGAAGTTTGCTACTATCTACACTCGGCGTCAAAAACATCGCACCTCTGCGAAAATAACTTTCAAGCGTTAGTAACCCTTAATACGCTTGTGTACCCTTCACCAATATTGGTGTCATTTGAAAGTCCATTGAATAAACTTAAAAAAAACACATTTCATTTCATATTTGATTCTTAGATTTTTCAGGCACATCACTCATTAAATAAAACAAGAATGATTTTCCTTTTCATTCTGAGGACGCATTCCTGCAATGGCTGCGAAACGACAATAAATAAATAAAATCTGTGCATCTAAATTCTTGAAATTTGTTTTATTTACATTTCATTTCATTAAAAAAAGCTTGATAGAGGTCTGTGCGGGAAGAGAATGGGCGTAGCGAAAAACTCAGCAATCTGTAAAACGTCAAAGTTTTGTATTGATACGGATTTGTTTGTTGTTGTGATTTCTTGCGGTTTTTTGTATTTAATCATGTCTTAAAGGGGTAAAACCTTACAAATACGGTAGAAAAGCACTACAGCGCCCTCCAATCTAAATCCCATTCTCTTTCCGGACAGACTCTACCACAAATGTGGCTTATAATTTCGTTTTTAATAAACTTTTTTGTTTTTTTCACTGTTCCTGTAAAGCTAATAACGCTTGAAAGTTATTTTCGCGGAGTATAAATGTAACCTATTAAACGATTAAAAAGGCTAATTAACATTTACACTTTATCAGAATGTATAACAACGTCCGAGTTATCTATTACTGCTGTGCTAATAATGTTACCGTCTTCATCGACATTGCACACCGTAATTTCGACTATATTCTCTTCAACTTTGGGTTCAATTTTCATTTTCTTTTCTCTTTGTTTATCCTCTTCTCCTCTGCAAAAAACCTCGAATCTTCTGGGTGTCGATTCCGTAGGTTCTGCCACTTGTCTAAGGTCGTAATCGTAGGAAGTCTCCAAAGATTCTTTGGGCCCACTGTAACCGTCTACTATTTTCTTGGAAACCTCTAGAATTTCGTACCTAGTCGTGGTCAGTCTGTACATGCCGTCTTCGCTTATTTGATACCTAGTGAGAAAAGAAATAAAAAAAAACTTACCATACTGTGATGTTTTAAAGTCATATAGATACGTTATACACGCTTCAAAAATGGCAATACGAAAGTCAGGTAATTGCCCGACTTGCATTCAGTTGAGTAAGCTCTCTCGCCGTGGCTACGCTTCGCTACAACATGTAAATATTTTACGTTTTTCCAGACAAAAAACCCTGTGTGTTTTTAGATAGTACACAAATTACATGGGAACTATTAGAGACAAGAAAAGCGTGTCATTTCATTCGGAAGTACAGTTTCAAAGAAAGTAAAATAAAAATATTTTGTGATTAGTTATTTTGACAGTTGCTGACACCGTTGACACGTGGAGGCTAAAGAGCGAGATGTAATCTGCTTTATGAATGAGAGTGAAAGAGACTACTTTAGTGCGCTCTATAACCTAACCTAACATAAGGCGGTGCATAAGGCATAAGGGAATGAAGTAGCGCACGCATCACTCATATTTATATTGTCGCGTGTGACGCTCGTGACTCGTGACTCAGGGCACATGTGGCAAGCGTACTTTCAGGCTTCGTCCAAAAACAAGTTTTACTTCTAAAAATATTCTCACCTAAATCGACTGTGTCCAAACGGCCACTGAGCTCCATGCACTTGCACCAAATGGGTGGTAAGCCGGGACCCTCTTGAAAACACCTTCATACTCTTCTCCGGGCACATGTGGCACGCATACTTCCTCGCAGGCTTCGATTGCTTCTCCACTTCTGAAAGTTCCTCGTCTGACAAGTCTTGGTCTTCGCTGTCTTCCGCTTCTGTAGTTTCTAGTGTTTTGCCACGCTTCCTCTTCTTAGTATGTATCGGCAGGTGCTTCTTTAGGTCAGATTTGCTGATGGCTCTGTGAGGGGGAATGGTGTGTATTATACTTTTGCAGAGTAAAACAACTTATTTTTACCCGGCTGCGCAATGCAAGAGCGCGAAGCGCGACGCGCAGACAGGGTTATGTGTTTAACAGTTTATATATGTATGTTTGTTCCTTTGTGGCACACTAGAGACCAAACGCCTGGACCGATTTTGATGATTCATACATCAATCGATTCGTCTCAATCATGGGAGTGCTACTAAAGATATGATAGTAATCAAAATTCAATATGGGCAAAATTAGGCGCCATATTGTGACGAAGTAAAAAAAAAAAGTTGACAAAATATGTCGAGTGGGGTATCACTGTCTAGATAATCAAAAATCATATTTAGGTTTCTAACACCATTTTTCATTAAATATGATTGTTTAGGATCTACAACGCTTTAAAGTTGTATATTAACCACTTACGCTTTTAATTTCAATCTTACGTTTGTATGGATCTTTCACCTAAAAAATACTGAATGGATTTTAATGAAACTTAACAGTAATATAGCTCATATATGATTGTTTGGGCATAGAATGGAGTCTTCTTTAGTAAAAACTCGGTGTTTTTTAGTAATTTCGCTTTATGTTATAATAGATACAATTTAGCAGTAACAGTTTTCTTGACAGAATGAATTTAGCAAAGTCATGACATTATAGTCGGTAAAAACCAGCCGAACACACGAACACGAGCGACATCTGCTATCTGCGGGCGACAACCAATGACGCTCGTGCTAAGAGCGCTCCGGTGTAACATCCAATAGATGGCGCCATCCGTTATATAAGTGCAATTTTTCGTTATGATTTGTAATATTCCTTTTCTTTTATATGTATGTATATGTGGGGTTTATACGGGCGCGAACAATGATAATTACATATATATAATAATTTATGTAGTTATTGAGTGAATTGGCCAATATATAGCAATAAGTGTCACATAAGACGGAAAAAAATGTCCCATTTGCGAGCCATTTTGGCCTGCACTGCAAAAACAATAAAAGTTACATGAATGTAATGTAGAGTGAAAATGTATCTCTTAAATAGTTCTAAAAAAAAGTCCGTGACACCATATATCTATTTTTAATATGTAAGTCATTACCGCTAAAATAGTGAATCGAAACTAAAATATTATTTGATATCTATTTCCAAAATGCACATTTTGTATTAACAAATCATTTTTTATCAAAACAAATACATTAATCGCTTTTGATATTTAAAGACGATAAACTTTGCTTTTTACACTATGCCATTTCGACAAATATTTAAAAAGTTACAACGATGACAAAGTGATAGCGCGATGTAAAAGAAAAAAAAGGGTAAATTTAAAAAATCAAAAAACCCAACTGCTTAATTATACTTCAAATAAAAACTGAAAGGAAAGAACAAGTCCAGTAGTCTATAATTCTGTTAATAAGGAACAAAGCTACTTTAACAGTCGGGACCCATTAGATATTTAAGAATACATAATATTTTTCAACAGTGGGTCCCGACTGTGAAAGTAGCTTTGTTCCTTATTAACAGAATTATAGACTACTGGAATTGTTTTTTTCCTTTCAGTTTTTATTTGAAGTATAATTAAGCAGTCGGGTTTTTTGATTTTTTAAATTTACCTTTTTTTTAGAGTAGATGATCGAATTAAATTATTATCAAAGCTTGCGAAAGACCGCGTTTTCAATATATCAGTGGCGCACTAACAAGGGGCGGAAGGGGCGGCCCGCCCCGGGCCTCCGATCTTGGAGGGGCCCCAAATACCTACGCGTTCCCCTGATCAAATGCTGAACAAGACTTTAAAAATGTGCTTAGTAGTATGTAGGTTTATTTTCATCAAGATCAAAACACTACAGCCATCTAGTCTTTTTACTCGGTACTAATATTCTTTTAACTGAACGCGTCCAATACGCTGGGGGAAATTCCGTTTTTGTAGCATTTTGTAATTCACTCTTGTACGCCTACATTTACATTCAGTACATTATATTTACGTTGAAAAATAAACATCGGCCTCATGTAAAATATAGGTATTTTTATATTTAATAGTTTATTAGTGCGTTCCGAGAACGGATAAGCCTTTTTTCAAATTGTTAAGTAATAAACGCGATATTATCCGTTTAAAGTAATTTTATTAAAAAGTGTAATTTGGTTTTTTTATTTTTGTTGCGGTATAAAAGTAAATGAGTTCAGAGTTAAGATAATGCATTTTCGCGTTTTTGGAAAAAGTAAGTAATTATTCGAATAATTTAGCCTAGAAATTATTATCCGTAGTTTCTAGTCAATATGTACCATATTTTAGGTATGTATGTTTATTTAGCCGAAATAATTTAATTCGAATTTAAATTTCACTTGTCAGATTTTAACGAAACAAACATAAGAAACTATTTTTTTTTTAAAGCTGAGGGGCCTCATTCAGCTTTGCCGCCCCGGGCCTCTGACGGGCTTAGTCCGCCACTGCAATATATTAAAGATAATTTCTCCTGGTGTCTATAATGGTACTAGTGATACTACTATGTGTCCTTGCGACCACTAATGGCCAGCGCAGACAACGAACTTTTATCCGCGGAGAACTTTTGTCCCCGTATTATGAAAAAATTGTCCACCGAGGACTTGGCACAGACTCAACGCACACGGTGTGCCGATATTTTTTCCTGGGAAATTTAGTGAAGCGCACGCTATGGAAGCAATATTCTGAGATTATGTTGTATTTTATGATTATTTAATTAAAGTAATAGAAACGTTTACGCATTCAGTCGGACACGCTCTCTCGCCGCGGCTACACTTGAGTGGGGGCGCGGACATGTGCCACAGAGTGCACGCGTATAGTGCGATTCAAATAAGAATAGGAAAGCCAATGACCTCCATCATATACAGGCCTGAAAAGTACGGTTTGCAAAATAAATCTTGGAACCCTTTTTTAGCACTCGGCTAATTCTAGAATAAAAAGTTAACAATTGTAAACAAACAATAACAAATATTGATGACGAATTTTCTTTGACTTTTTTTTCATTTAATGAACTTTGGCTATGACTGGTTGATAACCAAAATCGTCAAACAAATGTCACTAAGTTGCGTTCATAACCTCGATTTAAAACTTTCTTTTACATAAAGGATGCATGTTCATATGTGACTTAGGAATAGTGCATGATTATTCATAACAATCGATTTTTAATAATAAATAAATATTATTAAAAAAAAATGGTTGCCTGTAAAGTCGGTTTTACGGGCGAAGATTTTACGTGACAACGTCTTTTTCTCGGTAGAATATTTATTGATATGAATATAATTAAATTGCACAATAGGAACAAGGAATTGAATGAAAATAAGAATTGCACAAATTTTAACTATAGAAATATATTTTGTTTACTAAAACATTGTACATGTAAACTTAAACTTAACACGAGAGACTCATCGTAACGTTACCGAGCGTTACACTTTTTCATAAGTGACTCCCAGCCGCAACCTAATTTAAGACGTTGTCACGTCAAAACGGTTGTTTTTTTTCTCAATCTTAGTAAAAAAAAATTATTAAAAAAAATGATGGTTTTTCTCACTTAATCTTAGTAAATAAGTTTTATTAAATAAAGACTTTTTTTGCTCACTCTACCTATTTGGTACGAATTGACAGCTATGACGTCACAATATGGCGCCCAGTCGGTCCTATTCTTAGTTGAATCGCATTATACATGGACACGTGTAACATCGCCAGCACTGACCTGTACTCGCAGCGCGGGCAGGCGTGGTGTCTCGCTGCGTGCGCTAAGTGCCGGTAGCGCACGTGCGTGGCCAGAGTGGCCGGCGTGGGCGCGGACATGTGGCACAGAGTACACGCGTACATGGACACGTGCTGGCGCGCGTGCTCGCGCAACAAGTACTCGGTGCCGCACCACACCCCGCATACGGAGCACGCGTAGCTGCCGCTCGGGTTCTGTTGGATGCGTACTCATCTTTAATTATTTTTTTTATGTTAAAAGCGTGGTGTAACATCGTATTTACGCCATTACATAGATTAACTAGTTTGACATCCGACACTCAAAAATTTTCTCTATTATAGATAAATAAAACAGGTAAAACAGGTCTTTAAAAATTTTGTTTAATTTTGGATAACATTCTTGAAAATAAATAATAATTGTTAAAAATACATCGTTCTAATATTAAGTAAACTTTTTGTAATTTATGATTTGTCCATGCCCAAATTTCAAATTTAATACGACAACACTGAAACACAAGGCGATTTTTGAAGTGAGAGCTGGCAACACTTTTCGATTCATTTTAAGAGACGTTTAGTCATCTTTTTTGGAAATGTCAAATTTAATATTCAAATCTACCTTTTTTTAAGTAAATGCGCTCATTGAGCTAATTTAAATTTATTAAGGAGCCAATGGCCCTATACTTAAAATAAGAAAAAGCTGTGATTAAAAGGATGATGCTCCCCTTAAGTTATCCCGGACACCTGGAGATGTCACCAGGTTCCTGGCACCACTTTGTTTAATTTTTAATTGGAAGCTGAGACACCAAAACAGCAACTACCAACCGGCCATCACCTCCAGCTTTTTTTCAATTTTGGTTTAGCCATCTTATTGTAACAACAGTTAAATCATCCCCTTTTCCCCTTTTTTTTACCTTACAGTGGCAAACAAACATAAAGCCTGTAGTGTTATTTCACTTTGTTCTTCTGTAAGGTTTTTTGTTAATGTTACTTACCTAGATGGGTGCTCTTATTCGAACGTAAAATAGCTATGCCCTACCTATAATATAAAATCCCAAAAAATATTTAGCATTACAATTAGTGTAATCTTACTAACAATATAAAACATATTAATAAGATACCATTCATCACCAGCCTATTAAATGACCCCACTGCTGGGGCACCGGCCTTCCCAGTGGATGGAATAGAGAGATTGGGCTGTGACCCACGTGGGTGCTAACTCTGTAGTTGCAGCAGGGACCAACGGATTAACGTGCCTTCCGAAGCACGGAGGAGCTCAAGATAATACATTTTTGGTCACCCATCTAATGACCAACCAATACTGACCGAAAGTTGGCTAACTTTTAATATCGCAGGTAATCACACTAACCGCTTGCACCATCGAGGTCCCCTACAATTAGAATAACTTGCGAATATTGTAATCAACAATACAAACCACATTAATACATCTAAGATACCATTACAATTATAAAATTCATAATACCAAATTAACACATTCAACAACTACAAATCACTTCTCACCTGTCTCCTTATATGATCAACAAGCTTTCTGTTACAAGCAAAGTGCTGTCCGCAGTGATAGCAGGCGATCATTCGCTCCCCTGTGTGAGAGCGAACATGCATCGTCACGAACACCCTCCGTGTAAACGTCATACCGCAACCAGCCCACGAGCAAAGGAACTCCTCATCCAAATATTTTATATGCAGCTTTACGTGGTTGAACAATGACTGAAATGGCAAATTTTCAAAATATTTTCAAACCATCTAGAATTCCAAATATCCTGTTGTTCTGTACTGGATTACTCAAATCATTCCTTTATCATTTCATATTAAAGTTTATTGTAATTATGAAATAAAAGTTAAAAGAGTGATTCAATTAACCAGAGGCTCAAGCACAATATCTGCTTCCATACATAATTTAACAATGACGATACAATTACAGATCTATCAGTTGTGCTTGGATCTCAAATCTGTGACATTTATCTTTTCAATAACTTTTACCAAAAGTTCATATGAAAAAGGGGCATATTTTTAATAAGTAAAACTTAATTCTCAATATATGACTAAAATTTAGTTTAGTCACTAAATCATCCCAAGCCTTTATCCTCATCCATCCTCAACCTCATCCATAATTTATTATATGACTAAGTTTGGGATAAAAGAAAAGGCTATATCCTCGTAACGCCCACGGTCCCTAATAAAATACTAAAACAAACATAGCCTGCAGGCCCAACAATTCATACATACTCACACTCCTAAACGCCCACGGTCCTTTTTTAACGATTAAATCGTTTTGGTGATACTGTGGATTTAAATTTGCCGCTCTGAGTATAACCAACATAAAAACACATGAATTGGGATGGCTGCTATCTATGGGCGCGAGTTGAGGTGGATTAAAAAAAAACAACTGTCAAAGTCATTTAACAAAGTTTGACGACTTGGTACACAAACGGAGACCACGTAACTAATCGTAAAATATTTCTATAATCTATTAATTTAAAAGCGATAATTTTATTAATAATTGTATGACTCATTGTTTGAAACCGTTCTTTTATTATTTACTCCAATAGATTAACGATATTTAATACCTAAAGTAATTGATACAAATAAAAGGACCTAGAGCGTTAACTACTTTAAAGCCATATTAATATTTTTGGTTTTTCTTATTGCAAATTGCAATATCTACCGCAGTTACTGCCTGTTTTTTTTAGTTTTGAGAGATCAGGATATCTGCAAGTTGCTAAAAGACTCTAATATCGATTCCATCCATTTGATGCCGCTGGCGAGGAATTGCAAAGAAAGTCCACAATTCAGTTACACCTGTGTGTTACTAAGCAAAATATTTTTAAAATTTTCGCATTCTTTTTATTTTAATTAGCTATTTGATATCCAAGTATAGAAGACTGATTATGGAAAGAGAGTAATTATTATTTTCATTTTGCTTAATGGTTTATCAAATTCAGAATTTGTTTATAACCATAAGTGGACATTATTTTTATTATGGGTTGCTATTTAATTTCTTTTATATAATACAGGGAGAAAAAAACAGCCCTTGCTGAGTTTCTTGCCGGTTCATCTCAGTACAAGGTCTCCCGCCGTAGATTTGCGAACCGATGGCGTAGCTTTTCGACATTCACAAGTGCTTGTAACAGCCTAGACTGAATAAACGATATTGAATTTTGAAGAATTTTTTTTTCTGACGAAATTCTTTTACTATAGAAAGAAAGATTGTTAGTTTTATGTTTGCTGAGTAGATTCTAATCATTAGATTCTAATCATATATTGGGGGTACACGTCGACTCATGGTCCCCAGGCCAGAGTCTACGTGTGCCTCTACAGATCCCATACTGGTGATGTTGAGACAACTCGACTTTTCGAACATCTTAGTCGGGCAGCAGATGACGCGCAGGAGCAATTTCCCAATGCAGAATTGGTGTTTTTGGGGGACTTTAATGCTCACCACAATTTGTGGCTAAGTTCCTCGAAAACTGACCATGCAGGGATCTCTGCTCACGCGTTCGCTCTCACGCATGACTTGGAGCAACTGGTTGATCAGCCCACCAGGATTCCAGATATTTCAAGTCAAGCGCCTTCATTGCTGGACCTTCTGCTCACGACCCATCCACAGGGCTATCAGGTTGTGGTAGGAGCCCCCCTGGGCTCTTCAGATCACTGCCTGATATCTGCCAAAGCGCCACAGGCTAAACCTCCGCGTCCAACGGTGGTAAAACGCCGGATCTGGCACTATGGGTCAGCAGATTGGGACGGTATGCGTGACTACTTTGCGTCCGTCCCTTGGAAGCAGCGCTGCTTCAATGACAAGGACCTATCGGCCAGCGCCGTTGCTATTACTGAGGAGATTGTAATGGGTATGGAATACTATATTCCTCATTCCAATCTCATCAGTAAGGGCACACGTAACCTCTGGTTCAATCACGACTGTGCTGAAGCTGCTTCGCGTAAGCAAGCGGCATATCGTGCTTGGATCAGAGGCCGCGCTCTTAAGGATCCCGGGGTCGATTCACTAAAAGCAGCCTACAATATTGCTTCCAAGGCCTGTAAGAAGGCATACATCAGAGCGGATGCCCAGCGCGTTGTACGTGTTGGTCACGAACTTATAACGCATCCTACGGGCTCCCGTAGCTATTGGCGTTTGGCCAAGGCCGTGCAAAAGAACTTCTGCCAGCCCTCGCTGCCACCTCTGAGATGTCCAGACGGAACACTAGCTCATAAGCCGCAGGAGAAAGCCGATTTACTGGCAAAACTCTTTGCGGCTAACTCGCGAATCGATGATTGCAATGCACTGCCACCATTATTACCTCATTGTGGCACAACGATGCCTGATATCAAAATCAGGCAGCGTGAGGTTCGTGCCGAATTGCAATCACTCGACGTCCGGAAAGCTAGTGGACCTGATGGCATCCCAGCAGTAGTATTGAAAAAATGTGCAGCGGAGTTGTCTCCCGTGCTCACGCGTTTGTACCAGTGCTCGTATTCTTTGGGGCGTGTGCCGGAGACTTGGAGAGATGCTAACGTGCAACCGGTACCTAAAAAAGGGGATCGCTCAGACCCGGCAAACTACCGGCCAATAGCAGTCACCTCAGTATTATGTAAAGTCCTAGAAAAGGTCCTTAACAACCATCTGACCCGCTACCTAGAGGATCACTCCCTGATTCATGATCGTCAATATGGTTTTAGACCGAAACGATCGACGGGTGATCTTCTAGCGTACTTGACTCATATCTGGGGTGAGGCTATCGACAAGCGGGGCGAGTCGTTGGCTATCAGCCTAGACATTGCCAAGGCATTCGACAGGGTCTGGCACAAAAGCCTTCTCTCCAAGCTTCCGGCATACGGTCTGCCGGCCCAGTTCTGTTCTTGGGTAGCTGACTTCCTGCATGAGCGTAGAATTCGTGTCCTTACGGATGGTAGCAGTTCGCGGTTCATGTCAGTGAATGCCGGCGTTCCCCAGGGCTCCGTCCTATCCCCCACTCTCTTTCTGCTGCATATCAATGACCTAATTCCTCTTGGGAATATTCATTGCTATGCAGACGACAGTACAGTGCATGCGGGGTATCTCGGACAAACAGCGGCTGGGCAGGCGGTAACCAAGGAGAAACGGGAGAATCTTGTCATTGAACTCAATCAGGCTTTGGACCACATTTCTGAATGGGGTACCAAGAACTTGGTCGAGTTCAATGCTAAGAAAACCCAGGTCTGCGCTTTCACGGCAAAAACGTCGCCATTCCTTTTATGTCCTTCTCTTCAGGGCACAACACTGGAGCTAGAGAGCAGTATCACCATGCTCGGTATGGAGATTCGCTGTGACTTAAATCCAAAAAATTACATCGAAAGTGTGATAAAAACAGCCTCACGCAAACTCGGAGTCCTGAACAAGGTGCGGCGTTTTTTCACGCCCGAGCAACTATGCTTGTTATATAAGACGCAGGTTCGGTCTTGCGTGGAATATTGCTCGCACCTCTGGGATGGCTACGCCAAGTACTTGCTCGATGCTTTGGATAGGTTACAGCGGCGCGCAATACGCATCATAGGTGATGAGGAGGTGTCTAAACACCTCGAGCCTCTTCAATTACGCCGTGACGTGGCGTCACTAAGCGCGTTCTATCGTCTGTACCACGGCGAGTGTTCTGAGGAGTTATTCTCTCTTATTCCACCTTCCCCTTTCCTTCAGAGGACCACGCGCGCTGGCTTACGTTGTCACCGTCTAACTGTGGCTACAATTCCAACGCGTACAAAGAAATTTGGTGACTCATTTCTTTGTCGTACTATCCGTAAATGGAATGCTCTGCCCGCTCACGTGTTCCCTCCCTCTTACAACCTGGGATCCTTTAAGAGAGGAAGAAGCAACATGCAGGCCGGCAGGGTGAGGATGGCTGGTGTGGCAGGTAGAACTGCTGTATCAGCTATCTTCGCGTCTGGACTTCACCTTCACTTAACATCAGGTGGGGTGGAGTCATTTGTCGGACCTATGTATAAAAAAAAAAAAAAAAAAAAAACAATTAATTAAAGTTTCATTTACTAAAAAAACTGGTTTTTGTGTCCTACTTACTTCGACTCTACACCCTTTTCAACGTACTGAAACATAATTATGTTTGCATTTAATGCCCAAAGTACTTTTAAACGTATTAAATAAAAACACATGTGTATTGCCTTTAATACCCAAAGTACTTTTTTTGCGAATTGGATTTTGATCCTATTTGTTGTTCAAAAATGGCCTTTAGAATCCTAATAAGCTGCCAAAGAAATTTCATCTATATTGCACAACCCTAAGCATCTTAATATATTTGGCAAAGTTTGGGTCTGAAAGACAATAAAAATTTAGGATTTAAAAAAGGACCTTGGGTTATAAGACATGATAAGTATTAAATGAAGTTGGGCGTTACGAGGATATGACAATTTTCATACCTCAACCTCAACATTTGTTATCTATAAATAATCTTCAGTTAATTTTACAGACTTGATGTACAGCAATGATGGTGTATTTACAAGCTTTCAATTAATACTATCCCGATATTAAATTATTGCAGCTATGCTTTACATTTACAAAAAAAATATCAAACAAAGTGTGCAAGATAAATAACTAAATGTTATTAAGGTAATCAGATACTGCAATAACAGCTTATAATTATGTTTATGAATACAGCTAATACCCAAGTGCTTTTGATATGTTAAGCTATGAATACCTGAATAGCATTGAACTTCTCTTCACAGCCAGTCCACATACAACAATGTTCAGATTTCAGAGGAGGTAGCTGGTTTCTCTTAGTGGAGTCTTTATCACAACGACCCAACTTCAATGTTGCTCTTCCATTAAAGCCCACGGCCAACAAATGAGCATGGTACGCATGATAATTGACATGTCGCACCATTTCAGGGAAATCCGATGATTTGTGACCACACACATCCCAGAGACAAACATATTCAACTGAAAAGAACTTTCTATTATTGTTTACCGAAACACTCATTATGCAGTGCCAGTAATCTTTATTAAATTATTAGAAAATGTATAAATCATTACATAATTCAAAAACTTTTAAATGAATTCACATAGAACCCAATACAAACTGTGCAAAGAAGTTTCTTTTAGGTAATCAATTATGATAAAAGATGAACATAATTAAACCTTTGATAATTTAGTATTAAATTCTTTTAAAAAACAGTGTATAAAAGTTCTTCAGATTTAATTACCACATGCTCATAATTTATGAATAAAAAAACATTATGAACAACACAACAAATACCTATCCATGCTTATTACAAAGCACTATCACTATATTCAATGTAAGTGCCACTTACCGCTGCCATCTGTGTCAATTGCATGCAAGTCTGAAGTGTGCATGTGAACATGCTTTTGGAGCAGTTCATAGTTGCCAAAACGCCATCGACAGGATGCCCATTGGCAATCCATTTGAAGCCTATCGAGACGTAATCTATGTAAAGGCTGTAACATAAACAATGATTCTTAACATTAAAACTCATTTAAAAATATGCTGAAAAAAGACTTTTTTAAAAAACTCTGTGTTTTAATATACAAAGGTATTTACCACATTTTTAGGCTCCTCTTCGCGCTCACCAACTCCAGCAGGCACTGTCGCATCTTCAGGAACTGATTGTAAAAACTTTTTTCTTGCAGCATTCGTTTGAATTATAAACTGTATATCATTTTTATTCTGCTGAGATAGTCTCTTAGTATTTAAGCTGTTCTGATCTTTAAGCCAGTCAACGCACCGCAAAACTTTCATCTTTGAAGAGCCCGCGTTTTCTACGGTCGACATTGTTTGGAACAAAAAATTATAAACAAAGCGAAACAAATATTTTCTTGAAGTTCTAAATCGAGAAATTCTATTGACCTGTTTTAGGGGATATCCATGAGTTTAAAAGATTCCGTAATAAAATAAATCCAAACTTCAAAGCAGAAAAACTAAAGAGATTTATTTGTATCGCAGTCGCACTTTATTTTTATTTATTTTTAAGAATATCCCATTTCACGGAAGGTAAAGGGAACAATGTCGATACAGCCTAGTCTTAAATCTAATTATATTTCTTTTTTATCTGAACGTCGGTGTGACGCATTTTAATCTTCCTTGGAGTGTTTGGCACGAAATGTATAGAGTTGGCTTTTTCGATAAACTTCTGTGAGGTTATCAACACTACAATAAAGTTCTCACGTCCACTTGACCAGGATAGCGCATATTTTAAAGATTGAACTAATTCTTCAGTTGCGCAGACGATTGTAACACAAAATCACACCAATTTTATTTCACTGTATCCACTATGAACGAATCCAAGATTAATTAACGCCAACCGCACTCGATGAAATCCCGCCAAAAACAAAAACTACTTTATTTTTCTTTTTTTTAGTTCCACTCCATTCTTCCATATAGGGAAATGCAAAGACAAAGCCATGCAGCCATCGTCTTATTTATGTAATTATCTTTCTTTTTTTACATTAGAATGTGGATGTGACGCATTCTAATATTTCTTCCAGTGTTTGGCACAAAATGTATCAGGTCAGCTTTCTCGGCAAGCTTCTGTGAGGTAATTACCACTATAATAAAGTTCTCACATCCACTTAACCGATATAGCGAGTATTTTAAAGATTGCGTTAATTATCACACCAATTTTATTTCACAATATCGACTATGAACAAATTTAAAGAAGGGATATTTTTAAATGCATAGCAAATAAGCTATTTACAGCAATTAAATATTTTTTACATCAAAATAATGATTTTACTGCAAACAAAACATTTGTTAAACAAAATTAGCGCTGAAAATAATTCAAAAATGTACATCTAATCTGTAGTAACAAAAAACTTGTTTAATTGTACAGAAATATGATTTTCCTATCAAATATACTGATACTACTGATTACACAGCAAATATATTGATCGCACAGCAAATATACCGATTGCATAGAAAACTAACCAGGGCTTGACGCAAAATACTCACACTCATAACAAAACTATTTTTGCAACATGTTTCCCATTAAGCATTTCAAAACTTGCTCAACATTGGGACACTTTTGATGGTTATAAAAATAAAGCGAATGTGCTTATGACCACACGATTGAAGTGAAACTTCTTTAGCTCCAATGATCTGAAAATCATAAACTTAACCTGAAGATTTGTTGATAGAAAAAAAAAACATCAATCCGCGCTGGGTCCGTTATCACCCTCCAATCCGCACTAGTCCATTGTCACCCACCAATCCGCACTGAGTCCGTTATCACTCACTTATCCGCACTGGATCCGTTATCACCCACCAATCCGCGCTGCGTCCGTTATCACCCACCAATCCGCGCTTGGTCCGATTTTTATAGCTGGTTGAGTATCGTTTTATTTTGTCCAATATGGTTGTGATTTTTCAGGTATCCGTGGATATCAGAGTTGAGAACGCTCGCATCGGCGCCATGGTACTGGTATCCTCGCTTTTGTGGGTTGTCTGACAAAATCTGCAGATGCGACGTTTGGCGGTGATTTTTTCTTAATAGCAAGAGGGACAGGCGCCCCTCGCAACGGAGACCTTTAGCTCAGGAGTACTAGACTAAGCCGCAACTTGAATAAGATTTGTGATATAGAGGCATGCGTTGTCCACTTCTTCCTTGGTTTTGGATGAGGCATTAAGGTTGATGTTTGATTCGAGGAACTTCCGAAAGTATTGCCAGGCGGTTTTGTGGTTGAAAGATGATCAGTATGGGTGTCACTGGGTATATCCACCGAACTAATCGTCAGTAGAACAGCTTAGTGGTCGGAGCTACCATTGAGACTACCATTGGGAGTTCTGAGCTTTTACGGGCTTAAAATTAAAATGTCAAGCCATTTTGCTAGAAATCACTAACTGCTAAGTGTAACACTACGTCCAACAACCAGCGGCGGAATGATCACGGCGGCAGCAACAGGCAGATCCGCAGATCGAGCCCGCATGTTCGCACTGCCCTCGCACTCCTTGCACCTATTCAGCATGGACCACGTCGGTTTGTACTACCTTGTATTCATTGGACTAACGTCGCCAATCAAGAGGATATCCGGTCACAGCGACTGACCGAGTGTCTGGGCTTGGTTTAAAAGTATATATAATATCTAAGTGTATGTACTACCTTCTAACTGAAAACGTACGGTCATTCATACTATCAACGGAGTACCTACAACCTGAGATTTAGTTGTATAAGACGTTAAAGAATGACCAGGATCAGAATTACTCCCAATCGACGTGTATGTATCAAAAATTTTATGAGAGTGAATGAGGCAAAATACTTCTTTTACCTGCACGGATCGTTATAATCCCGAAATCAAGTGTGCACGTAATAAGATTAAATAATCATGCATTAACCTTAGTTTACTGATAACCAATAGTGGATAATCTATTTAATTATTTTTGCAGTATACCAAAGACTGAGAACCTTCGGTAATAGTGGCTTGAAATTGTTCTATTTAATAACAAATATATTCAACTTATACTTTAATTTGCAGCCATTGCTCTAAAATATATATGCTCATCAAAAAAGTAACAACATGTTGTACGGTTATGAATGAACTTTTGAATGGATTTTACTATTGTAATATATATGCTTTTATAAACACTATCGAAAAGCTTCTATTTATTTTCCAATAAAAAATGTACCTAAAACATTAAGAAAAACAACTAAACATCAATTGATAAAACGATGCGACGTGTTTATTAAGACTTTTAAAATATTAATATGTAATTTAACTACTTATTTTTTAATTTCTTTAGGTGTTTTTACTTTCATTTTTGTTTTCATAGGTTTATATATATATATATATATATATATATATATAGATATAGATATAGATATATATATATATATATAAGAATTATTATTGGAAAACGTATCGTTTGACAAATTAAAATTTTAGAACCGTAATTCAATGTTGGATAAAAAACAGACGCAATAAACAAAGCGACATATTTAATAAGCTCGGAAGGTCGTTTAAAGATCTTGATATTTTTATAGAATAATAATAATAGAATTGAAAATCAGAAGGTTCCTGCACGCAGGAGAAAAATAATTATCCCATCACTTATGTGACTGTTTGTACACCCTACTAAAAAGAGACAGCAGCAGAAAAAGGTTTACTCTTTGGAACACTTTTGAGGGTCACATAAGCATTCCAGCAAAGCAAAAAGTTGTTCTAGATTCTGTTGACAGGAGTCTATGGTTTCTTCATAACCATAACCTCTATGCCGAATTGACATTTGCAAGACCATGTTGTAGGTTACGATTCCCTAACTTAATCAGCTTTATTACATTACATTAAGAGTGATTTTTGTAGTGTAAGGGTAGTCAATATTCATAATCCATGTGTTATTTAATTTAATAGAGAACAAATCGTGCGACGCGTGCGTGCGATACAAAACGCGTGAGCTCGTCGTTGAGTGCGGCGAGTCCCCAAGTTTCCTTTTTTAATCTCTTATCATTTTAGTTGATAAAGTTGATCTCGTAGTTCTTAACTCACACAATAAGAGTGACCGCCTCGAGAGGTCGTCTCCTGTTACGGCTTGGTGCTGATGAAATCAACAGTGACGCTCGAGGAAGTTGTGAATAAATTGGACCACATAGTTTTACCTCTATCAACCAGAATGCCGAACATCAAGGTCTTCAGTGGAAGCTCGCACCCCGACCTGGCGCAGAAAATCGTCGATCGCCTCGGCATCGATTTGGGAAAAGTGGTCACAAAAAAATTTAGCAACATGGAAACTTGCGTAGAAATAGGGGAATCAGTACGTGGGGAGGATGTTTATATTGTTCAGAGTGGTAGCGGCGAGATCAATGATAACCTGATGGAACTACTTATTATGATTAACGCATGCAAGATCGCGTCGGCATCGCGAGTCACCGCTGTTATTCCTTGTTTTCCTTACGCAAGGCAAGACAAAAAAGACAAAAGCAGAGCACCAATCACAGCTAAATTGGTTGCTAACATCTTATCGGTCTCTGGTGCTGATCACATAATTACGATGGACCTCCATGCGTCTCAGATTCAAGGATTTTTTGACATACCTGTAGATAACCTCTTTGCTGAGCCAGCGGTATTGAAGTGGATCAAAGAAAACATTCCCGACTGGAAGACGAGTATTGTTGTTTCTCCTGATGCTGGTGGTGCTAAAAGAGTAACTTCTATAGCAGACAGATTGAATGTGGAATTTGCTTTGATTCACAAAGAGAGGAAAAAGGCAAATGAAGTTGCATCTATGGTGTTAGTAGGTGATGTGAAGGACAGGACAGCTATCCTGGTTGACGATATGGCTGACACATGTGGTACTATTTGTCATGCTGCAGAGAAACTGATTGAAGCAGGTGCTACAAAAGTGTATGCAATTCTTACTCATGGTATTTTCTCTGGACCAGCTATTTCTAGAATTAACAATGCTTGTTTAGAAGCGGTTGTCGTCACAAACACTATACCACAAGAGAGGCACATGCAGGATTGTCCAAAAATTCAATGTATTGATGTTTCTATGATGTTGGCAGAGGCTGTGCGACGTACACACAATGGAGAGTCTGTGTCATATTTATTCTCCAATGTTCCATATTAGTAGAATTAATGTTTTTTTTTATTTTACACTAGCTTAAGGTCTCCAACATCGATTTAATACTGCTTGCTGAGTAGACAATTGTATTATGGTTTGGAGTTTATAGTAGCTATTCAATGTAATCTAACAGATTAGATAAGATAACAAAAATTGGTGATATTGTAGTATGAAATTAATAATTTGAGAAAATGAGAATTTACAAGAGGAAAGTTGGAAACCTACTAATTTAGTTTTAATTTTAAACATTTATATTCATGGATTTAAAGATAAATAGCTATGTTTCTTTATTCCATCTAGATAATCTCATTTGAAATAAGTCTGTTAAAGTTGTTATATTTACAAATAAAAATAATAAGTCTTCAAATCTGAAATAGAAAATATGTTGGAATAAATATTCACATCCATTTTCTATAATCGTTATGAATTTGGAACATATACTTAGGCTTGCATTTACTTTTATTTTATGTAACAATATTGGTATGTATGTATTTGGATAGATAAACATTTTTGTTTATGAAAATATTTTTATCATTTAGAAATGTAGTTGTAGTTCATAAAAGACAAGATGATTCTGTTTATTTTTTTTATACTTATTACTACTTTACCTAGTTAAACTTTACATAAAATTATTGGCTTGTCAATATAATTGATACAAAATTTAACTCGAACTATATTTGAAGTAAATTTTGTATCATAATGAGTTTGCTTTGCTGTAGGTATGATGCTACAAAAATATAGTGTGTCTGATAACAAAAACGTTATACCAGAAAAAATAAATACTTTCATTGTAGAATTGAATATATAATTGCATATATTTGGGCAAAAAGGAAATTTTTATATAGTTTTTGGTATAAATTGCTATACATAATAATATTTGGCTATAATATTAATTATTGTAAATTTTTGCTAAGTTTATAGAACAATGTATATTTGGTCCATATACCTACTTTAAGCAATAATAAAAATATTAATTGATATTTTTCATATGAATTTTATTTGAAACTAAATAAATGAAACATTTACTTACCCATTTTTGTTTTGAGTAAACAACTTTAGGCAATTATTATTGTTATTATCTGGTATTGCAACAATTTAATCTCTAGTTTAATTTGATTAGTGCGACTGTCTCAGAGATGTTATGTAGTTAGGGATATTACCCTTATAGAAAATGCTGTCAAGGTTATACTACCCTCATTCTCGCTACTGCTCGTAAACCTAATATTTTTCATTAATTATTGGTGAAGCCACATTTATCATCATCAGCCTATAAATGCCCCACAGGCCTTATGGAATGGAATAAGGAGAATGGGCTATGCATGACTCACCACCCGGGTCCAGTAGGGATTGATAATAACTGCAAATGTAGCCAGTCCAGGGCCAACGGCTTAACGGTAACGGTGCCCTACGAAACACGTTGGGGATTGAGTTATTAAATTTTTGGTAACCCAGGATAGATCAGGAACGATGGCCTGGCCGGTAATGCGAATGTTGTTATCGTTCACGGTCGCATCCCGAAGCCGAACGAACGCGCTAACAGCCGCGCCGTCGAGCTTCCGAAAATTGCATCCTAGTGCATGTCCAGTCATAAAATAAAAAATAAAATTCATTTATTTCGAGTAACATAACTCATAACCATAATAATAATACATAATCAATTACTATAGAAATAGGTATAATAGACACAATTTGTTGTTATAGCAACAAAATAGGTACACATTCTTTGAAAATTTCGAGTCTACTTAGTTACGGTAAGAGTTCATGATAATGTGACTAACGAGTTCGATGGCGCAAATTGTAAGCGCGTTGGGTCTGCTATGAAAATGCGTGAAAATTAAGCAGCTTTCGTAATCGCCGCGGTTATCGGATGGGTGATCAACCATTTATTATCTCGACCCACTCCGTGCTTCGAAAGGCACTTTAACTGCACACACCTACAAATCTGCACTGGGCCTATGTGGTGGACTATTTCCAATTTTTCTATTCTATCCATAGGGAGGTCTGTGCCCTAGCAGTTGGGACCTAAAGGCTGATGATTATGAGGGGTACACTTGAACTATTTCATCACCAGGGCCAGATTTAGAGGTGTAGGGGCCCTGGTTTTGATAGATTTTGTCTGATAAATTTATAACCCCGCCGTAAATCTGGGCCGAACCACTTACGATTTGAACTCACCGCTCCTGGTTGCCCCTGGGCCTTAGCCTTAAATATTTTCCTGCTCATCATCATCACCCTTTTATAGCACCCTGACTGAAGAACAGCAGAAGTTCATAAGAGTATTCCGTTGTCATGCCACCTCACCATTTGGTTACGGAACCTTAAAATGATTACCTATGTTCAGTATTGATAAGGTCTTGAAGTAAGGGCCGACTTGTCAAGTTCTTTAGCATCATAATCATTGAAAATAAAATTCAAACTGGTTTATCGTTAGTACGTTCCTTTTAGAAGCGTAACTCCTGTGGTTACATCATTCTAATATCAGTATGAAAACTTGACCTGGGAGGTCGATAAACGCCAATGATGTAAATTGTTTGTGCTAGTGGGCGCGTCTCGTGTGCTCCGCTACGGTCAATGGAACTTTCGTCTTTATTGCAACGACCTTTGTGGTCATGTAATGTGACGTTAAAAATAAATTATAGTTACAAACAAAGAATTACTTGTACCTACAGATTGGTATAGCGGATATAAAACAAATGGAGTGGAGATTTAAATTCAATTCTGTTAACTGTTTGAATCCAATATTGATAGGAGGAATTAAATATAAACACCTATTTTCATTTTAATATCTCTCTTTAACAGCTCAAAATTAAAAAAAAAATGCATGCAGATTTTTATCTAAAATTAGAGCCCGCTTGTCTGGCGATGGAACTGCCACCATAGTAGGTATAAAGGATGTAAGTCTATGACTGCCACCACACCTTTGCTGATCGAAGCACCACACTGAAGACAACTTGCGCAGGCATGCTCCTGAATCTCAATGCTGGACTTGTTTTATTAAAGTGCAGCAGATTCATTTACACCAGCTTACAATTCAATAATAATAGTTTTTGTTCTTTGAGACAGGAAAAAACGGAAATATTGCGAAAGATGGGTACCTACCTAGTGAATAACGTAACATTTTAATCGGGGTGGCAGTTGTGACCAAAAGGTGACTACCGTATTTTGTTCCGACTGGGCTACTACCACCGATTAAACACCTTGACACAATACTTTTATCCAGTTCATGTAAAAGGAGTCTTGGTTTAGCACCTGACAGGCTCCGAAAATAAACTGTGGTTTTGATGGTGCAGAGTAAGTGGCGGATTACTGATGCAAATAAAACATTAGCAAATGCGAATTATTAGTGATCCACATCAAATGTCGTTACTTGTTGATATGAATCCGCAACCGTAAAAGCTACGCATAATTTAATGTTATTGCATGAAATTGAAGATGTCTGAATTGCAGAGTAGATGTATTGACATTCCGACGTTCTGGGTGCGCTAGTTGTCTAGCGGTCTTAAATACCTTTTTTTTTTACGCAGGTAAAAAATCTTTTTACAGACGACGACGCCTTTAAGAGGCACCTGGGACCCCGCAACTCTTACGGGCGCTTTACGGTATAATATCCGCTAAAAAGTCCTGCGAATACCTTCACCACTGCCTGATGCGGTGCCGCGGGATCCCCATGGTGGAATTTCTCCGCGTCCAGCGGTCTTAAATACCTACCCCAAGTTATAGGACTCATGCTAAAGAAATCACAGTACAATAATAGGTACCATCGTCACTCAGATACAAGAGAATAGAGAAAAGTAATTGTTTTACATCGACTCGATCAGGAATTGGAAATTTGGCGTCAGAGAACGAGACTACCTTACGTCCTTACCCTCCTTCTCGCCTCCTTTTATCCATGTAATATGAAACGTGTTCATTGCAGATCAATCTCAGGCATATTCGATTAGGTAGTAGGTAGGTAACTTTGTAGTTACTAAGTAACAGAGGTGTTTGTCAAATAGTAAGATAAGTGACGGGCGGCCCGGGGGTCTCGGGTTGCATTCCGACTAGGTCTAAAGTTACACGAGTAACACTTGTGGTGTCCTTGCATTGCATTCGTTATGAATTAGTTACAACCAGTTTTAAACAGTTTATTGACATCATAGACAATCAGACAGTAAAATGATTACATTGAGTCCCTGTTCAAGCGGAAAAGGTACAGTCGCAGACGATTAGTTTCTTATTTTTTTATTGTAGTCACTTGCGCTGTTATTAATAGGATTATTATTAGTACCTAATACAAATACATAGGTTACATAAGTAGGCAAGTGTATCAGCTTTTTAAAGCTCATATTTAAATAATCATAAAAAAAACTATGTAAAATACTCAATACCACCTACATGTACCGTAGATAAAGGGTCTTGACAGACAAAGTGGCCCTTATATATTTTTTTTTAAGCATGTAACTGCTAAACGTTTAAATAAATAAAATTTTACTAGATATTTATGTATAGTAAAAGTAAAGTTTCATAGTCACTAACATTATAGTAATTTATGTTATATTCGGGATTGTTACCATGTAACGGGGAGTTTCCGATATTTCGGCACTGCAGTAACATTCCCGTAAATAAAAAAATACTATAATGTTTTAACATTTTTAAACATATTATAAGGCAAGTGGGCCAGGAATCAGTTTGTTCGATAGTACCTTCAAGTTTATAGTAAAATAAAACCAGGCAAATGTTTATACACTAGTTTATTGTTCACTTAGTGTGAGTGGTGGCGTGGTGAGCTTGAGCGGCGGCCTTCCTCATCTGGGCGAGCACGTTGCTCAGTTCCTCTCGCTTCCTCTTGGCACGGATGTGTGTGCCCAGACGACGCTTCAAGAATTTCAGGGCGCGCTTGTCCTTTGATACCTTTATCAAAGACATTTTCATAATGTAATAATATCACTTGCATTTTCACCTCTGCTTTAGTGTAAAGGTCAGAGATAAAAGCAGTGGTATAGGGAAAAGAGATGGAATGTTAATTTTATAGCGATGATTTTGGGATTTACTCAAGCATGTCTAAATGACATGTAAACGTCTTAAATTCTAAACAGTCAGTCTGAATAGAGCTACTGGAAGGTTCACATAACTTTTCTAATGAGAGAAAGATATGAATCTGCCAGTTTGCATGGAATGGGAGTGGCCATATGAAGGGGTAGAAAATAAAATTATTTAAGTGTGGCAGGCCCACAATACAGCCAAAAGGCAATGTTATTTTATTGTGGTTTTCTGTAAGATGGAGGCTGCTTCCTCAGACCAGCCCCAGCTATGCTTTTCCTCTTACTTAGGTAGTACATGCCATGTTTATGAAGGGTTAGCTAGTGCACACAACTTTTATTCTTTGAAAATTAATATTGTTCTTTAATGAATAGTTTTAAAAGTCAAGTTTGATTTTCTCAAAAAAAAGTAGTGTTGCACTGAATGTAGATCCTGTGGAATGGCGGACACAGCCAAATATTCAGTTTAAGTATGTACCGACACCGAAGGGCACCCCTCATTCAGTTACATTTTCCGTTATTTTTTACAATAGCAAAATAAAATACAAATAAGAAAGCATGTTATGTTACCTTGCTAATAGATGTTTATTACAATTGATAATTTTTTAAAGCATATTTTTGATACTTGTTGCTGTTCTTGTTTAGGGGAATAAAAACAAACAAAAATCTACGTATTTGCTTAGATCTCATCATTTGATCTATATTTTGTTTTAAAATATATTTTTCTTAACTTTCCTGTTTCTTATTTGAATCAATTTAAGCTACCAAATTTCAGCAGATTTATTCCAAATTTGGCCAATGAAGTTCAGTAAAAGCTGCCAACTTCAGTAATACCAAATGTGAAACAAACTTCAGTGCATCTCTACAAAAAAGTATGTTATGCCATTCTCTTCTTCTCTTTATTTCCATGCAGAAAATTAAATAAAATCAGTTCAGCAGTTTAGATGTGAAATCATCACAAATAGTTCCTTTAAACTTCCTATTATATTAGAGTGGATATATCTATATGCTTGCAACTACCTATTAACACTATTGAAACTCCTGACTCACACAAAAAATCCTATCTCTTCATACAGAAAATTTTTGAACTAAGAAATGTAAATGAAAATAAACCTCATCTTATTATTAAATTATATTTGCTATTATAGCTGCAATACGGATGGACATGCTGTGAAAATTTCATCAGCTTATGACATACAAACCACTGATAAATGGGCATAAAAACATAGGCTTAGTAATAAGGTTCCATTGTCACCTTTGGGAGCAGAATGCTAAAATATGAAATAGTAGGAGTGAAACGGTTAGCCTAATATTGCCAGTCCTTATCAAATGCGAATTAGAGCACCACTTAGGGCTGTGGAGCCTGTAAGATATTTATTTATATTTTAATCATCAGACTCAACTTCCAATCTCTGCCAGTCATGGAATCCATCCAAGATTGCATGCAATTTAAACTTTTAGTATGTAAGTTAGTTTATTATGTATTACACACATACCTTTAACAATTCCATAGCCCTTTTCTCATACTGTGCATGTCCAACAACTTCACGGACGAGATCACGAACAAACTTTGAATGTTTGGTTTGCAGCTGAAAGTAAACATGTAAAATGATACTAAGAAAATATTTTGCAATGTAGGTGCACTTCAAAGGGCAAGTATTACAAAATGACGATACTTCATTCAACATACACTAAAGACTAATAAATATAATAAAAGCAGGTAGCAGATTTAATAAGTAGTATTTAAATTACAATCTATTTTAAAAGTTCAGAATAATTTATCAATGTAAAGTTCAATTTTCACGATCTAACAAATATATAAACATAACCTTTAAAACATTTATGAATGAAATACTTACACCCTTTAGCCTAGCAGGTCTGATTCTGATGGCTTTGTCAGTAATACCTTTCCGACCGGCAGATATTTTTGTAGTTTTGTGGCCTTTTCGCAGACCAACTGCGATTTCAAACCGAGGAGCCATGCTGAAAACGTAAACACAAGCACGGTAAGACACAAAATATAATAATTGTACTTTTAATGGGATCAAACAGGTACTAATTATAAATTGCAAACGAAACTATTTCCATTGATTACAAAGATAAAGAGCAATTTTTATTTCTAAATTATTTACGTACTTTCCGGATTGACAGATCCGATCAAAGAGAAAATGTTCGATGACGTTTATTTTTTTAATTAAAAAAAAGCGGCTCGTGGTCATAGCTCATAGAGGAATTAAGTTAAGGTTGGAATACATTGGTAGCTTTCCAATTACATCATTATAGCGCATTATGCGGCATAATGCCTAACGTTGAGTGTTCCAACCACAGCAACGCTTCGCACTCTCAAAAGTAAAGGCTACCATTCACAGGCGCGCCCATCCGCCGGATTTGTCGCTGGCGACAAGTCCGCGGACAAATCCGCGTGTGAATGTATTGGTGAGCGCGGCTCGCGGCTCGGCGCGGCGCTCGCTGTCAAGCGACGCGAGCGCCGCGCCGCACCCCAGCCGCGCCGTACAAATCCGTACGTGTGTGTGCTTGCACAGATTTATCGGTGAACTTGTCAGTCATTTGTAGTACGTGCGCGCAGAACGACCTCTTAACTTGTTAATTCTGTATCACGTCTGTATCACCTTTTTGACGTTTATGCGATACTGTTTTAAGTCAAAAAGTTGAACATAATACTCATTTAAGTTGATATCAAGTTAATATTATTTTAAAGAGTTGATCATAATACGCTTAATTTGATGTCATTTTGATATCATAATACGTAATGTGAAATTGAAATCAAAACAATATCACAATTAGCGAACATAAAGAGCTAATTGTATCTTTCCTACAAGGGGTTTATCTCTTCTACGCATGTCGTCGGCATGAGCTCGTTCTAAATAGTCCATTACTAACCCGAAACGAGCCATTTTACTCTTTTTTATTAAAAAAAAAGGAATTTGATACAGAAAATCCACCTCCTAACTTGTTAAGTCTGTATCACATTTTAGACGTTTATGCGATACTGTTTTATGTCAAAAAGTTGAACGTAATACGCATTAAGTTGATATCATTTTAGAATTGATGTCATTTTGATATCGCATTTTTCGGAGAGCATAATGAGTAATGTGAAATTGACATCAAAACAATATCACAATTAGCGAGCATAATTGGCCTGCAGTTGTGTTGTTTGTATCACGAACGAGTAAACGAGTATAATAACATGTCGTTCGGCGATCATAAAGAGTTTTGGCAAGAATTTATCCTGCTGTTTAAAGAGAAAACTAAAGAGAAACAGGTGGTTTACAGGTCTGAATGCATTGCAGCAATTTTAAATGAGTATATTTTGTTCGTTGTTTCAGCCATTCCTTTGTTCAAACGCGCTTTTTCTTTTTATTCTCGGTTAAAAGTATTGCACCGACTACTAAAGCGACTTTTGTGCGTTTGGAAAGCACCAGTGGCATGGTAGGGTAGGGAAGAACGATACGCGCGAGGCTCACCAAAGTACACAAGCGACTGGACTGCAACTCGACGCTCGTGTAGTGTGTGGGCAATGACGGATTTGTCCACGGATGGGTACGGCTCGTGGTTCGGCTCGCGGTGCGTGTAGTGAATGGTGGGCTTAATGCTTTCGTGTGATGCGTGCAATCGTACCAACTCAGAGACAGAAAATTAACAAGTGTTTTTTCTTTAAGTTGGCATTGATCGAAATGTTTTATTTATATGTTATCGTTAGTAATATTATTTATTGTTGAAAAATTATTAAAACTTTTGTTTCGTCATAGTTTTTTTTTAAATAATCAAAGTTAATTCAAACTGTGTTAAAAATTAAATATAAATATGGATGAAGGTACAAACATTGGCTTTTTTTTCAACACTGAACTTAGCGCACTCTGCTGGTGCATTTGAAAACTAATTCACGTTCCAATGAAGCATCAGCATAATTCGGCATTGTGCGGCACTGAGTCGCATTATGCTCTGTAATTGGAAAGCAAGCATATACTACTTAGTAGTACAAAAGCTTGCTAGTTTGGAGCAGGTACAATAGCATACAATACATAGGCTATTGGGTTCATCCGTTTAATCAAAATTGTACAGTTTCCAGAAATTTCAAAATCTTAGTTCATATTATAATTTCTGTCATTCGTCTGTTATTATTGTCATGATTCTCTAAACCTAAACTTAAATTTGACAACAGTGTATCCTTGTCATTTTCTATATAGAATGAAAAGAAAAGACTGATGTTAAATTTAGTTTTAAGTTTAGAGAATCACGCCAGAATCGATACCATTGAGTGTGTAATTATATCAAATAGGGTTTATTTCAACTTCTGCGATAAACTCCACATAAAATTCAATGTTATAATTTTTATTATTTTTAAAGCATGTAACTGCTTGATGTTTAAATCTAAAGAAAATATAACTAGAAAAAATTCCACGCGGACCAGGCAGCAGACGGGACCCCGTCTGGTGCCTGGTCCGCGTGGAATTTTTTCTAGTTATATTTTCTTTAGATTTAAATTCAATGTTGTCTTTTATTTTGGCGGTACATAAAACGAACGTGTTCGATCTTTTGTAACATATGAGAAAGCTATTTAAAAAAAAAGTTATACTTCAAATGGTATACATTTACCGAGGTTATAAAAGTAGCTCGACATGGGCAGCTGACTTGATACACATATATGTCGATGTATATTTGTTTTATGAACTTTGTATTTGTATCGGCAGATGCACTTAATCTCAGCTGATTAAGTAATAAGAATACCATTCATTCATTTCATTATTTTTTCGTTACATCACTATAAGTTGCTGACAATTATTTTTATCATTCATTCATCATTCCGTGCCTTTTCTTTTAATTGAATTTTATACTAGAACATTTACTTTTAAGAAATTGAAAATACTTGTATATGGTAAACAAACACTATGTTTTAGAACGATTGAAGTGGCAGATCGGTTATTGCATGAGAAAGTAACGTAATTTTCTATTTTAGTGGGAGCTCCGACTCGCGATACGGAACGATCCAAAATAGTAATAGTCACACGTAACTAGTATTATATTACGCACATGGTCAGAGTGGCCATTTACTTTGGCGAAAGGGGATCGCCCACCTATGCCATTTCTATTATATTTCTGGTATATGCTCTAAGAGTGGATGTGATATTTTTTTGTAGTGCTATCTCATAGAAGCTATTGAGAGAACTGACTCCATAAGTTTTGTGCCAGACTCTCTAAGAAATTACATAATACGAAATAAGCATTCTGATGTAATAAACGGAAAAAAGCCTAAGTATTTAATGCCTCCACTGAACGGGAGAATTTTACAAAAAATAAACAACGGTGTTTGGCGGGATTTCATCGAGTGCGGATGGCGTCTTATTTTAATTATTCTTAAATTCGTTCATAGTGGATATTGTGAAATAAAATTGGTGTGGTTTTGTGTAACAACTGTCTGCGTAACTGAAGAATTAGTGGAATCATTAAAATATACGCTATTCCGGTCAAGTGGACGTGAGAATTTTATTGTCGTGTTGACTACCTCGCAGAAGCTTATCGAAAAAGCCAACTCGATACATTTCGTGCCAAACACTCCAAGAAACATGAGAATGCGTCACACCGACATTCTAATGTAAAAACAAAAAGAAGATTAATTTAATTAAATACTAGGCTGTATGGGCATTGTTCCTTTTGCCTTTCCTAAAACGGGAGAACTTCAACAAAAAAAAAACAACCGTCACTGTCATTTGTCAAAATTTTGGAAGTGTTTACTATTGAATTGCATTGCACCTACACATGTTATTTTTGTTAATATTGGTGAAATTCGGAAACAATATTCGAGTGCAATACAAAAGAAAAGAGATTGACTTATGTTTATATAACGACGATTATTATGTGAAATTGCTTTGGCAAGTCTTCGCGCTCAATTTAGTTTTAATAATCTTAACCTAAAAACTTTATGATTTTTTGATCATGGAAGTCGGTGCCGTAAAACAAGCTTTTAATAACGAGGTAAGGGTTAAACCTTGTCAACCTTGGTCTTATTATTGCACTAAAACCAGTCACCCAGCTGGCCATGTAGCCTTAGATTAAAACAAAAGGGGAAGATCGGCACTCGCGTCTAAAAAGTGATCAGCTTAAATTGTGGTGCATGACCACAATCCGCTTTAGTCACAATTGGACATTGAAACTCGCTGCATGGGCACTCAATATAAGAATTTTGCATGTATTCTGTGTTATAAAGATAAAACAATGATGCTAATATGAGCGTACCGTATCTGCCCTTTTTGTTTTAATCTAAGCATGTAGCACAATAATTATACACCGTGAATTTTGAGTTACCTGAGAGCCTATGTAATAGATAGTGATTTCAGAAATATCTCTGATTAAATTAATTGATTTTTCAACTTTAAGATTGTATATAATAATACAGGGAGGAAAAAACAGCCCTTGCTGAGTTTCTAGCCGGATCTTCTCAGTACAAGGACTCCTGCTGTAGTTTTGCGAACTGATGGCCTAGCTTTTCAACTTTCATAAGTTCTTGTAACAGCCTAGATTGTAATAAATATTTTTGTATTATATTTTTCTTCACTGGCTCATTCAGACAACAATTTTGAGAGGTTATAAGAAAAATCAATGAATTTTTAGTTTAAATATATTTTCTACACAATATATTATAATCAATATTTTTGTATGGGGGTTTGCTATATTTACTGTTTATAACTGTTTGCATTATTATGCTTATTAACACAATTTTTAAATTTCTTAGGTAGCGCTAAATTTACTATGTACTTTATGTTTTCCTAGAGTTTTATTGTGAAATTTGGTTTAAATTAGTATTTTGCTACAGAAATATTATTTATGACCATTCAATGTCACATGAATTAAACTGAAATAGTTTGGCTATGCATTGGATTTTAAAGTATATATAAATTTTCTGTTGTGGAGCTAACTTCAGATCATTACTGCCACATCATCATCAAAAGTTTCTTGATAAAAGTTTCTCAGGCAGGAGTTATCTGCAAGAAAGTAATTGCATTTTAGTTATGTACAATGTTTTTGTTACATTACAGCTTATTTTACTTAAAAAGAAACTTAATCAAGCTAAAATACAAATAATACATAAACTAACAAGGAAGGCAAAGACTTTTACTGAGAAAAAAGCTCCTGAGCCACTCAAGGAGAAGCTGAAACGAAAGGCAGAATCAGCTGTGAAGGAAGTTCTAATCATCAAGGTTTGTAATATCACATGTTTCTTTCTTTTTGAACATACAACTCCTTAAGAATTTACTAATTACTAGCAATTGTCATTTTGAATGATG